CCAATAGTTTTGGAGGACTTAACAGCAGAAGTGGTGAGTAGAAAATTTGATCTACACCAGCCTACTTCATTTTGATAAAAAAATTCTCAAAAACAAGTGACTTCATTGCCTCTCAGAACAGGATTAAAAAAAATGGGAATGTCAAATAATTATCATAAGTAGTAATTGTAAGTCATGATCATTTATTACTAGTAATTAATGGAGCCTGAATTTACTTAAAAACAAACAACAAGTTTTAGTTACTATTTTTTTTAATGAGTAATTTGTGGTCACATTTGGTTTCTTGGTAGATTTGTACTTGTTCAATATTAAAGTGAGATCTACAGTTTATAAATACATAAATGTACATGTAGCATATAGTGAGAGTAGTAGAGGCTCTTAGTGTTATGAGGGGTAAGCACTTAGTGGCCTTGATGGTGTAATTGTCATAGGCTGGGTTTAATATCCACACCCAACCTCTGTAGCATGAAGGGACTATTGTAGGAGTATGTCTATGTCTTCTGAATGGGATTCTGATGCATTGCAGATTCCTCCTCCCCATCTCTCAGGAAAGAGCATTTGTCAGTTTCTTTCTGGGTAATATCTATTTGTACACCTAGCTAGGCCCACCCCTTTTCATTTTCCATCCTTCAAATGACTGGGGCCTGATTAGAGGTAGGTGCTGAGGGAGTAAAATGACTTGCTTCAGAACACACCAGACAGTGACCACACCAGACAGTGACCACACCAGACAGTGACACCATGTCTGCCACAAAGTTGCTCCTAAAACTGATTTAGAATTAATGAATTCAAAGTAAACCTTCTTCACATTTAAATAAGCTTCTAACTGTACATTTGAAAATTAATTTTTTTGAACCAGGTGCACAGATATGTAGGACGAGAACCCAGTGGTCAAACATTTAACTATTTACACCTGAATAGCCAAGGTTAGTATTTAAACTGAGACTGGGTGACATTTGAATTAGGTCTCTGAATTGGATCTCTGCAAAATTCTTAAGTAGAAAATGCATGCTTAAAAGTCTAGATGAGGATGTAATACATGTCGAAAAGGATGACACAATGTGCAAATGACAAAGGCATAAACCAGGTGTCATTACTGTTGACAAGTGCAGTAGATTGTCTACTCTTTCACTCCCAGAAGTGATTAAGATGTTACTTCTCCTTATACTATCTAGTATACATTATCCATCAAATAGGTAATGAGAATACTCAAACTTATCAGGTAGAAATTGTTATCTTGAGCTAACACCAAATTATCATAACCAATTTACATGTACAAGGAAAGGTGTAGCAGCTAGAGGCAAGAATTAACAATCAGATCTTGGAATTTAGAGGATTAAGCCAACTGGTAACAATGTGAACCAAAACACCGAACATTATTACAAGATAATTATCATGATTCGATTACTAGTAAATATTTATTCATAAATGTTTGAAATAGGCAATGCCATGTTTTTCTCTTTGTTTACTCCACAATTTGTTTGTGCATTTTGCAGACCGACCCCATAATCCAATGTTGAATTCTGGTGCTCTTGTTCTGTGTGCACTTCAAAAGGTAATGTTATAATTAAAGTAAGAATTGGTGGCTGAAATTACAAGGTGTTATAATTATAAATAATTTGTAAGCATAGATATGTGCCTTTTACAAAAAAATTTCAGGCTCTAAATAAGGTGTCTGCTATGACTTTTTGTGGTGATTTTTCAGCCTGAATGGCCATTGGCAGACAGATGTGAATATGTGAGTATCATTCACATTATCCTTGATTCTATTAATTGATTGAAATAACTTAAGTTTTTATAATAATGTAAATGTCAAGTCCACCTGCAGAGAGAATTTAAGGGATAGCATGTTTGAAACCATATGGAACATCTCAGGCCTGTGAGTAAGTCCTTACTGGGTTGTGGTTGTGGTGGAGTGCTCGTGGGCATCATATCTGGATCATCTATCCGTTAGAGTATTCACTGTTAAAGTAACTAGTCAGAACTCAAATATCAGCTGACATGGGCCATTTGTTTAAGTGTTCAGACTTTTTCTATGTCTCTAACTATTGATATAGCTAGTGTTGCCTACTTTCAGATGAATAAGCTGAGGACAAGGCATCATTTTGTAACAATATGTTGTTTTTATATTTAAAGGTTCAGGAAAAATTTAAACATACAGCTGGTGGGGAATACATTGGATTTAGTAATGCTACGTAAGTTATGTTTCTTTGTTCAGCCATGATAAAAATTGTTATGGTTTTATAATTAGTCATTCTGACTACTTATCATTGATTCCTCTATTAATAATATCATTATGTTTCAATAGGCCATTTTTATATTAAAATTCAAACTTGGCTCTGAGGCTAATGGGTGAATAAAACAACAGGGATTAATTATTCATCCTCAATATGATTTCTTTTGTTTTTATTATTCCCCCAAGCCCCTGAGAAAAGTTTGAATTTAAATATATCAGAAATGGCTTATTGCAATCAAAACAAAATTTCCCAGTCATCTCAAAAATATGAAAATAAATAGTGAAAAGAGACAGGTTTATAGGGTGAAGTGATGAAAAGCTATATTATAAAATTATAATATTGTTATTACTATAATAATCACTATGATGAGGAATTATTGGATGAGGTTGAGCATGATATCATGAACTATCAAAACTGAGGCAGATAACATTAACATGAGGTTATTATCAATAATTATTATAGACATTGAGGGACTTCCCTCACCAATATCAATACATCACATGACTGTCATTGCTTGAACCTGTGTAAAACTTCTTGTGATCTGCTGTATTTCATATGATTATCAATTCATTACTACTGATTTTGGTGAATAAATTAATTTAAAATATTTTTAGCTTTTTATCTGAGCGTGAAACTGCTGACAAAAACTATGCTCTGGGATACTACATGAATGCTCACAAGGTTGGTGGAACATGCATGATGCATGGAAGTACACAGCAAGCTCACTAAAAAGTTAGAATACAAACTAAGTAAAGTTCTTTGTAGAGCAGCAGCCAGGCAGAAATTTGGACATACCTTAGAGAAATTGAAAATTGTCTGAAACAACAAAACTGAACTTTATCATAACACTAAACATTAACCTAATCTGTTTAAACAAGTTGTAATTATTGATAATTAATTATTAACTAATTTTAATAAATTATGATATTCATATTTATATATTGCAATTATAAATTTAAATTAGAGCTTATGAATAGTACAAGCTGGAGAACCAACCAAGAGTGACTAGCATCTAATTTCCTCTTTACAATATCACCACGGAATCACACATTAAGGTCATGAGAATAAAAGAAATGATCAACAACTAAAGAAACTCGATTGTTCAACAAATTCTCCTTGTCAGAACCTTAGTAAATGTACAGGGAATAGTATGGAGAATATAAATACTGATGATTGGGTGTTAAGGGTTAATGAAATATTAATTTCTGTTGCATTGAATTATGAGTATAAGCATGAGCACACTTGAAAAATTGTGCTGCTTGTTACTTGGTCCCATTTTCATGGATCTCTACTTTAAGGACCAGCAAGACCAGGAATAAATATGAAATAAATAACAAATCCCAAATGCTGTAAAGATGGAGAAGAGTCACTAGATATTAACTGTGCCAAATGATATCAGTTTGATTTTCTTCATTTTTGTTGAAGGCTTTTCCACCTAACACAAATCTGATGGATACTTTTGAACTCTACTTTCATGTAAGTATCATTTATTTTACAGACTCAACTTGTTATTTTCTACATACACTGGATATCTTAATTTCCCCAGAATTTCAACTGTGATTAATTTAAATGGCAGCAAAATTTGTTTGTAGACTTGCTCCACAGAAACAACCTGTGATGCTGGTAGTGTTATGGCAGCAACCCTGGCAAATGGAGGAATTTGTCCTTTGACTGGTGAAAAAGTAATCATTATGTGTTAATTTTTAAAATATGAGAACTTTGTGTATTGATTATAAGTTTTTCATTAATTAGGCTATTATTTATAATTCATTTGATAACTTTTTTCATCCAAGAAATTTGTGCCAAGGGACATTAGCACTTTCTCCTGGCTCTTGGTGACTGTCTTATCAGCAAAAAATTGAAAACTTATTGCCAAATTACTGCCACTTCGATAAAAAATCAAGAGGAGTGGCTGATATTTTGTTTTAGTGTATACAGCAAAGTGGCTTTGTCAGTGGTTGAAAACATGTTTTCATTCTTACAGGTATTCAGCTCACAGACTGTACAACATACACTGTCTCTCATGCTTTCTTGTGGACTGTATGATTACTCTGGACAATTTGCCTTTCATGTAAGGAGAATAGTCAATGCACAGAGTTTATTTTATTAGTTTATTAGCTGTTAAATTCAGAAAACTTTGAACACCTGAAGTATTTTATTTTCAAAACATTGTGATATGACCTTTTTCATTAGGAATTAGGACAACATGGAAGTCAATTTAAGCCACAAAACCACAAACTATTTTCAGTTACTGCCTACGGTTTTGTGATCTTCTGCCTGCAGGTGGCTTGTTTCCTTAGCACAACTTTTATTTTCAGAAATATTTCCATGGTGTTCTGATTTCAGTGTAGAGACACTGAGATTTTCAAAGCTACATTGTATTGATCAGCTGATCCAAAAAATTTACTAACAAGATCCTTAATTGGCTTCTAAACTGACTTATAGCATTTTCTTGAATTTTCTCAATTGTTGTTGTTTTTTTTTCAGGTAGGCTTGCCAGCCAAGTCAGGTGTCAGTGGTGCAGTCTTGATAGTTGTGCCTAAAGTTTGTGGTATGATGGTCTGGTCGCCACCACTGGATGATCTAGGTAACAGTGTCAGAGGAATGCAGTTTTGTAAGGTAATGATAATAATGAAGCAAAGTTAATGTAACAATTAAAAGCTCCATGTGCACAGAGCTTTCATGAAGGTGATTCTGGTGATCTGGGTGGAATTTTGTGTCATGGGGGTGAGGAAAAAGAGAGCCTGCCACTATCCTTACATTTCAAAAAAGGGGGTGGACTTGTGCTCTTGCCACAATTCCTTTTGCCGTCTTTGTGTGAAATTCTGCATTCATCTCTGATCAATCAATGTTAAGGAGAATTGTGTTGAGTACAATGATGGTGAAGATAATGCTGATGATAATTACATAAAGACGACGATAGTGATGGCAATTACATGGAATTACGGTCAACTCGCCGACGGACCAACTCGCCGACGCCAACTCGCCGACGTATAAAATCGAGTAGAGACGTCGGCGAGTTGGTCGTCAATCCAATACAGCTTATTAGAAGTTAAACATACAGAAAATTAAACGATATTTAGTAAAAAAACACTGGTGAACATTGGTGAACATCAAACAGAAGCTTAAACATTGGTGAACATTGGTGAACATCACCAATGACCAGAACAGCTTAAGACGCGAACGAGTTATTGTGCGACAACAACACCATAAAGACTCATCATGTCAATCGCTCAGATCTTTTAACGAAAACTTGGCTTTCTAGACAAGATCTTTATTAAAAAGCATTTCTTTTTATTTGCAACAAAGTTTATAAGGATCTCAAGGCGAATAAAGCGAAGTAAACATCACCAATGACTCTAACAGCTTCAAACGCGAACGAGTTATTGTGTGACAACAACACTGTAAAGACTCATCATGACAATCGGTCAGATTTTTTAAGAAAACTTGGCTTTCTAGATAAGATCTTTAGTAAAAAGCATTTCTTTTTATTTGCAACAAAGTTTATAAGGATCTCAAGGCGAATAAAGTAAAGTAAACATCACCAATTACTATATCCGCTTCAGACGCGAACGAGTTATTGTATGACAACAACACCGTAAAGACTCATCATGTTAATCGCTCAGATTTTTTAAGAAAACATGTTCACCAATGTTCACCGATGTTTAAGCTTCTGTTTGATGTTCACCAAAGTTCACCAGTGTTTTTTTACTAAATATCGTTTACTTTTCTGTATGTTTAACTTCTTATACGTTGTATTGGATTGACGACCAACTCGCTGACGTCTCTACTCGATTTTATACGTCGGCGAGTTAGCGTCGGCGAGTTGACTGGTTACTATTACATGATATTAACAGATTGTGTTGTTGAGGATAACAGTGATGTTAGGTCAAGGATAACAATTAAGAACAATGATGACAATTGTATTGAACTACATGTATAAGAGTGACGAGGATAAATCTACAGAGTATTGAATGGATATGAATGTTTTGATTGAGAATAATACTCTGACAATCTGTTCCAGTAAGTTTGATGGGAAAGATTCTTTAGAGGCTGTGACAATCATATATTTTGCAGGAACTTGTCAGCTTGTTCGATTTCCATAACTATGACCTGAAGGGTGCTTCATCAGGTAGAAAACTTGACCCTCGCAGAAGAAAGGCTGAAGTACAGGTACAGTTTGATCAAGTTATGATTCATAATTTGAACTTAGGTCCTCTGATAAAACTATGGTTTGCAAAGGCAAGGAGTAACTGAATTTTAAAATGAGAAGCTAACTTTGATAAAATATTATGTACTACTATCATGTCTGTGTAAGTGCCAAATTATACAGTTTAATAATATTTTAAACAGTATATATTATGTTCAAGTTATTTCATTGAATGTTATTTCCAACAATAATTTTTCTTTATCATGGCAGTTTTAATTGGCAAGGAGTAAATGTATCAAAGAGAAGCTAACCAATATGATTACAATTATGATATAACCATATTTACCCATGTATAATACGCACTTTTTCTATAAAAATAACCATCAAAATCGCAGTGCGTATTATACACAGTTTCAATTGTTTTTCAAGCACATCCTAATTTGCATACCTTGAAAACACAACAAAGAAAGTTACAAAAGCCTAGTAGTAATTGGTCTTTATTAGCTTGAGTTAAATAATCTACCAATGAAACATTTTCAATTTCAATCCACAAACACAACAAAGAAAGTAAAGAAAGCCTCGTAGTAATTGGTGTTTATTGGCTTGAGTTAAATAATCTACCAATGAAACATTTTCAATTTCGATCCATAATCCATAATAATAAAATTCGAAATGGTAATGAAACTTACCACTACGAAACGTCAATTGTAGGAAGAATTAACATTTTTTTTTTTTGCTGTGAAAACTTTTTTTTATGAAAAATTTGGTCAAAAATCGGGGTGCGTATTATATATGGGCATGTATTATACACAGGTAAATACGGTATGTACTACTATCATGTTTGTGTTAGTGCCAAATTCTAAAGGATCAGGAAGTTTTATTAGTATTTTAATCAGTATTTATTTAGTTCAGGTTATATGATTGAAATTTAATTCTAACAATAATTTTACTTTCTGATGGAATCACTGTTTACATTCTTAAGCAGAATTTCATGTACAAAGAAAATAACTGAATATTGGATTTTTATCATCAGGGAGAAAAAGTTGTTTCTCTTCTTTATGCTGCAAGTTATGGAGATGTAACAGCCTTAAGGAGGTGATGTTGATAGCTTAGATTTTATATTAATAATGATAATGATGACCCTTTTAAGATGATATACAATATCAACATATGACATAAATTCACATTTACCAATATCATGGCCATTGCAATTGGGTAGACACTATACTTACAATATACACTTTATCATTCTGATTTATTTTCCTTTTTTTTTGTACTCCTTACTGCTTTTGTTACTTCATACTTATTGTGCTCATTCTACTTGTAAACCATTACACTCAGTTAACTATGACAGTCCCACTGATAAAAATTACATGACTGTGTAGCATGCCACATATTGTGAATTTGTCAAATCATACTATTATTTTCATGACTGGATTCTGATATTTTAAACTTCAACATAAAAAATAACCATCATTTGATAATACGAAGCAAAATCTTTGTAAGTTTACTTTGTTGAGATATTTTGTTAAATGGTGAATTTTAAAACATCAAAATAGGGCTATAGAGTATGATTGTATAGTAAGAAGCATTGTTTCTGATATTCATGTACTAGAACATGACAAAGAAAATTTTCAGTCCAAAAAAGATGCTTTATTTTTCAAGTAATGCTTGGTAGCACCATTTTGGAGACCATTATAATTATACCTATGCATGTGTACATGCACATTAGCTAGATTGAACTCAAATTTACCTCAATGGTTTTAGATATTATCTGTCAGGCACAGACATGACTATGCAAAACTATGATGGAAGGACAGCTTTACATGTTGCCGCTGCTCAAGGTATTGAGGGGAAAAGAATATAATTTTCAACTGGAGCAGATCTTTATAGATTTTTTTTCTTCACCTGTAAAATAACAGTTGATAATTAATATTTTTTTTTAGGAGAAAAACACACTGAGGGTTAATTTATAGATACAGTCAAGCCTTATAAAGCCTTATAAAATTTTCTTCCCTGCTGGTCTATGGCTAATCAGTAGAATTAAGCCCTATTGGATGTTGTACTTGGAGGGGTCACTTTAAAAACTATTCATGCTGTGATCTCTTCTTTTATCTTCCAATTTCCGAAAATATATCATTATGTAAGCCCAATGAAATAACAATGACAGTCTGGGCGTGTAAGCCTTCTCAACAAGAAGAAATGAGGTAGCAATATTTAGATGATACCCATGATACTGGTCATCTGTCAACCTGTTTCTTTTTTTGTTTTGTTTTCTTTTAATCTTTTGTGTTGACAGGCCATCAGGAGGTCATCAAATTTCTTCTAGAGAAATGTGAGGTTCCAGTTGATCCAAAAGATAGGTACAGGAGGATAAGAATTAAATTATCTTCATTTACTTTAATTTCTTGGTAGTTAATTGACCATGAATTGTACATGTAAAGAAATAAAGGTTAAGTCTGTACTGGAGCCAAGTGGCCTACCCAGCCACAGCTTACTGCACTTTCCTTAGCATGAAGCGAAAAGGAGTATGCCATTCCATCATAAGGTAACCCCCCCACCCCCCCTTCATCAGGCTCTCCTGACAATTGGGAAGGGGGAGTGGTTGTGCTCTTATCCACTTTGTGCTACAGAAACTGCTGTTAAGCATGAGCAGTTATGAGCCTCTAATGTCAAAGACTTAAACCTTATCTTTGATTGTCTTTTAACAAATTATATCTGTTTATTCTTTTCTGCATTTTAACGCCCTGGAAAAATTTAACAGAAGTTTGAAGATTAGTGCATCACATTAGCTTCATGGCAAACATTTTCTATTAAATTATCTCCTTCAAGAATTTTCAAAGCACAAATGGCAAGCAGCTTGTTAATAGAAGTGAATTTCTTTTTAGGTGGGGATTTTCACCTCTTGACGAAGCAGTACGATTTGACCATCAGGCCTGCGTGGACCTGATAAAACACCATCTTCAGTTACAAGGAAAAACTATTCAATAATTGGTAGAGCCTTGTGATACATGAAGTTGACCAAAAGGATCAATTCCTAGGTATAAAATATGAGTTTAAAAACCATTTTATTTGTAAAATTTGAAGTGACCTCACTGAAATGATATACTGCATTCCTAAAATAAGCGCTTATGTTCTCTAATAAGGGCCTTCCCCCAAAAAGCACCTTCCCATGAATAAGTGCCCACCCCCTAAGGTCATATTTATCAAACAAGTGCCTCAATCCTCCTCCCTTTCTCAAATAGCAGGGATGAAAGGCAAACTTGTTTCTATTTCCACCTTGTTTATAAATTTTCAAGCTTCAGTACAGAATAATAATTGATTAATAAGCACCCTCCTTCCTAAAAGCGCTCTTCCCCTACACTGAAATTTAAAATAAGGGCTTGAGTGCTTATTCATGAAATACAGTGTGCACCAAAATGCATGCAGCAATGCATTATAGAGAACAGTTACTGGTAACTAAGTTATTTTATTTATCGTTCAAAGTTTTAAATATCCACAAACAATGTAAGGTTAAAGGTACTAGTGTGAAAAAAGGAAAGTTCCTTTATGCAAGTATGTTACAAAAAGCAGGGATTATATCCAAGTAAGGATAATTATATATTTTTGAGAAATTTGTTTGAAACTACAGAATACCAAATTTTAGCCAGTTTATTCCCAAAGGGAACTTATTTTTTTAAAATGGAACTGGGTCTCACAATTATTACAAACTTATCATAATTGACAACTTTCCAAGACAATGAAATTAATTTAATCGCATGATAATATTATTAAGAGTAACATTAATATATAACATAATCTGCTTTACAAAGCATCCTCTCTACTGAATGAGGGTTTTATCATGGCTAATACATACACTGTAGCTGATAGTCTGTTGTACTTTACTGAACTGAACCATAAAGTATGTGTGTTATTATTGGTCAATTTAACAGGCCATATTTCACAGTGCAGCCTACTAAATTCAAAAGCTTCAGAGAAATTATTAATATCTCACTAACCTTGTTTTCTTGGTCTGTACTCAAAATACCAGAACCTCATATTTTCCACTTAGATTTATGGCCTGCATGCTTTATAATCACCACTCTTATCTAAATGAACTCATTGCATGGGACTCATGCGAACACAAGCTATTGTCTAATGATAATAGTGGCAACTGTTTGACATCATATAAGCCAAAATGGCACCTTCTGGGAAATTGAGGCATTAATATTGCTTCCATTTGTTTACAGTTCTTGTGCATTTCAGGTTTTTTCCCAATTTTCCAAGGGGAATCTTCATGGAACAAGTTATTGTCATCACTTTAACAGCAATTTGTCCTGAAAAATTCCCTTAACCCCTAAGAGTGACTAATATCTAATTTCTCCTTTCAGTATCATCCTAGAATCAAACATTTAGATAATGAGAGTTAAGGAAATGGTTATTGACTAAAGAACTTTATGTTTGTTAAAGTCTCGCTTTTCTCGTGAGTACTGCAGGAAATGTAAATAGAATAGAATGCATACTTAAGTTAGGGTGTAAAGGTTTGTTGTGCAGTTGCAATTAAAGGTAATTTAAGATATTTATGTTACTCATATCATTTTCCTGAAGTTATTATTCAGTTGTAGGCAAGTGATGGGAACCCAAGTCTCTACATAACCATTCATTTCAGCCACATTAGGACATAAAAACAAGATATGAAAACAGTGAAATGATTCACAAAATATTACTGTTACATTAATGTCATCAAAAATTATTGTGGAGAATTTCACAAATGATCAATTGAGTTCCTTTTCCAACACACTGTATCTATAAAGTGGATCCAACTTCCCCTCTAGAGTAGCATCAGCCTCGCATAATGTTATGTGTCTGGTTTGACCAAGAAAATGTTCTGCAGCTTCCAGTTTAATCAGTTTTATTCTTACCAGGTCATCCACATTGTAGTAACTGAAACAAAAACAAAACAAAAAAGAAAGCATAAAAGCATTATGAATGGAATTGTGGCATTAAACTCTTAACCCTTACACTCCCACGATCTCATCAGTAATTCTCCTTACTATCTTCCATACAATTCTTATGATGTTAGTTTGGTGAATTTGGTATTATATCAACTGATAATCCCCTAATTGATATTTTCTCTGTTCTCGTCACTTATCTGCTTGACATTTTATTGATTTTGTGAGGAGATATTTTTTCTTGGTCACTTAATGAAGTCAAGGAAAGTTAAAAAAAATCAAACACTAAGCTAAATGTGACATCTAATTACTCCTTACAGAAACACTGCTGGATTACACTTAAAAGTCATAAAAATAATAGAAAATGATCACAAACTAAGAATATTCTGGACTGTTAACCCTTTAACTCCCAGAGGTGATCAACATGAAACTTCTCCCTATAATATCCTTACATTATCCTGCAAATAGGTGATGAGTATATTCAAACTTATCAGGTAGAAGTTGTTATCTTAATCTAACACCAAATTCTCATTACTAATTTGGAAGGAAATGTGTCGCAGCTAGAGGAGAGAATTAACAATCAGATCTTGAGAGTAAAAGAGTTAAATAACTTTTCCTTGTCAGTATCAAAGGAAATGTAAAGAGAACAGTATGGAGAATATACATATTGATTCTACAATTATGGTATCACCCTACCCCGCCAATTAATTATTTTCATTTCTTTTAAATTCAACGGCAAACATCATGTTTATACCTTGCTCTGTTTCTCCCTTCCGTACAAACCGCGTGAAACTTCCAGCCAAAGTCTATATACAAATCTTTTTTCGCACCGTTATCCACGATGTGCGTTATTTTTCCAGCCACTATTTTTCCTTCAGGTCGACCCAATTTGACAAACCTAGAATTCCTCAACATTTCTTCGAAGTTTTCGTCCTCTGTACTTCCAGTTGCGCTAGAATATGGCCTTATGCTTACATTTGTGGAAAGAAGAATGGATCTACAGTTGCGTCGCAAATATAAAAAACTAGATGCCTTTCTCCAGAAACCACATGAAGCCGCCATGTTTTATAACTGCGAGGCAACCTAGCAAATCACCAGGTTACATAGCCTTTATTCCTTACCAGTCCTTGCTCCTTGCTGGGCCTACCTCCAGTCCTCGTCATTCGGGCTCGTTTGGGAGTAAAAATAGTTCGGAGGAAACTGTTTCATTCTCGTGCAAGAAAAAGATTAAAAAAGAAATTGACAAGAGTAGAATTTCACTTTATCAAAGAAACTTAGAAGCAAAAAAAAACAAAAAGACAAGCTAAAAGTTTGCCATTCATGGAAAGGTTAGTTAAGTAATTTAGTATTAAAAGTTCTATGCAGGACCCCGTACCTGTAATCGGCTTTCTGCCTCGCTGCTGTAAGGGAAAAAAAGCAAACGGCTCTAGGCTTAGGAACAAATGCACCATAAATGCCTGAAAAAAATCTGTCTAGAAACTTCTCGATTTGTTTCTCATCATCATCATCATCATCAAAAACTCTCGCGAAAATTCTATTTCATTTAAAAACGTCCTAAAATATTCCATATCTTCAAAATATTCACCTTTTCACGAGCATGGTACAAAGAAAAAATTCTGAGTCTCAATTAGGAACTCAGATCTTCGGATTCCGCGCGGATGAGATATCTTCGAAAGAAGTTCGATTCCCTTTTCTTTGTCCTACGCTAGTGACAAGACGAGAAACATCTTTTTTATTTCTTTACCGAGCTCAAAACTTATCATTTCTCTCCTACTATTTGTCCGCCTTTTGTTAATAGTTAACGCCTGAGCGGCCGACAAATATTTATGTAAATTTACTCAGTTTATTATATTGGTGTTGTAGACGTTTTGAGACTGAAGAGCAGGGGAAAAACACTCAAAGTCGGGTCAACACACCTTGCTTCAACGGAATAAGTCGACATAGCACTGGTTTCGATGAATGCTTCCTGAGACAAGCTATCAATCGGACTAGCGCGTGGCGATCGAAGCAAAAACTCAACGAGTAATTGTGTCGATTATTCTCGAACAATCAGAGTAATCCTGCCAAGAGAAGGGAGACGAAACATAAGTTTTCGCAAACGTCGACGAGTATCCTCTACGTAATACAAACGAGTGGAACGCCACTTTTTTTAAAAGGTATGTTTCTTTTGTTGATATTCTGATATAGGATCGGAGCGGAGCGACAACACCAACAAAGTAGACTTTCGTCTGCAATTTCTAAGAGTGCTGTTAAGTTTGAAGTAAATGTATAGAGTACCGCGACTGTCCAAATCTCTTTAATCGTCATATACTAAAGAACGAGATACCTAACAGACAATGGTCACCGTATTCTTACCCCGTGTGAACAAAAGAATCTGGTACGATCTCAAACATGTGCATCAAGTGAGTCACGAGATGCATGTGATATTTACCTCTCATATCCTTCAAATGATTCACAAAACTAAAATAGCTCTGGTTGTTTTTAAAAGCCGTTTCTTCAACAAAGCACTAGTTAAGAATATTTCCTCTGACGTTTTAGATTTTGAAGGAGTTTTCACTATATTAGAAATACGTTTGATCGCAAACGGAAACGTAGAACAAACCGTAATATCTTTCAAGTGGATAAAGGCCAACATCCTGTATTCAATGAAATTTACGAAATGCGTAAAGAAGCTCTTTATTAACAGCCTTTGGCGACAGCAAAATGTAAAGGACTGAAAAGCTTGCTTGACTTAGACTAAAAATAGTTTCAACAAAAAATGTGGTGCTGCGACGGTGAGGGGTATTTGGATAATTTGGTTGTATCAACCGAGAATGAAATAATAATGTAAACTGGCCACCGTGGCGGAAATTCGCTTTGGCGTCATCCGCCCTGAAGAAGGGCTAAGCCCATGAAACGTCAGTTTCAGAAACTCTTTACGGTAGCTAATTTATATTATCAACTCAGTTGAGAGATCCAAATCATCTGGCTTTGTCATCAACCATATTTGCCTTCGGGCAGCAATTTGTTCGGTAGTCCACAAGAATCATAGCAAAAGTTTTCAAGTCAGCACACAATGAACGCCACAACAAAAGTGTGAGAACTTCACGACAACCGTTTGAAAATCTCACTGCAATGGCAAGTATATATTTTTCTGTCTTTAATAAAGACATTTTTTTCCGTCAATTCTAAAATAGATCATTTTTCTCAAATTAAAGTATGTGTGAACATGATTTTTTAAATTGTACGTCAAACTTTCGCCATGATAATTGTGGGTCATCATTTTATTGAGATATCTGCTCTCTAGGTCCGCTCAATCACATACTTCGTGAAGGAAAGGAAAAGGGTTGAGTCAGTTTCATTGTAAATTATTTTGTAAACGCACAGCCGCGCAAGGTTCGTCGTAATGTCCTGGAGACGATTTTCACAGCGTTATGTTATAAAGTCACGCAATGTTAGATTGCGTGACCTCAAAAAATCACATCTTTCTACAACGGTTAAATTAGTTAAGTGGGGTTAAATTACTTTAAACTTAATTTGTTAGCTTGAAAGTATGCTCTCTGAAGTTATCTGAAGGGTTATATGGCCCAATGAATATTTTCTAAGTCTAAAATATCTCCTGATGGTGAAAGTGATGACTGAGCTAAGTGAGCTCTTTCGTCTCTTCGTTCCTCTGTTCTTTCGTTTCTTCGCTCCTAAATTCCTTCATTCCTTCTTTCCTTCTTCGTTCCTTCGTTTCTTCGTTCCTTCGTTCCTTCGTTCCTTCGTTCCTTCGTTCCTTCGTTCCTTCGTTCCTTCGTTCCTTCGTTCCTTCGTTCCTTCGTTCCTTCGTTCCTTCGTTCCTTCGTTCCTTCGTTCCTTCGTTCCTTCCTTAATTCTTTCGTACCTTGCAAGAATTTACTTCCTCTGTACTGTTGACATGTTTTTTTTTCTCTTCTCACAGTGATACGAAGGTCAGCTTCCTTCATATGATTTTATGGAAATTAAATGTACGTTCGTGCAACATATAAAAAAAATCTGGTTGTTGTTTATTGTCACTTTGTTCCTTTGCGGATGGGTCATCATTGAAAAACTGGACAAACCTAACATAATAACACCTTATTTTTATGATCAACAAAAAGATAACGTCTATAACAAAAATTCTACATCTTGGCTTGAAGAAGTCACCGTATATGACGTTAAGCAATGGCAGAAGAAATTCTACACTTCGCTGGCTAGAATACGAGAAAAACCTCCAAATGAATGGAAATCAAGTGTAACCAGGATTATGGCTTATAATGTGTACACTCAAGGGTTGTTGGACAATTTACGACAGTTCAAACTGACAAGAAATGAACTTGGACAAAGTGTGCACATTGGCGCAAATAACGGTTTGTTGCTGTTTCCAGTGGTAGCATCATGTAAGCCCATATTACCTGATGTGGTTCTCTATAACAGGATATTTAAGACCGGAAGTGAAACGACGGGTGCGTTGTTTGGTTTCTTAAGTTACGTGATGGATTATCTGTACACCAAACGTGAGTATTTTTTGTAGCAAACTACTTAAAGTGTTCATGACTTGTCATAGTTTGTGGTCATTATTTCATTATCTTCTGCCTGGTAGAAAGAGGGGGGGGGGTCGGAGAATCTTGATTGTATCACGATAAAATTTACTTGATCTTCCCCTGAGCCATTCTAACATGTTTATGATCTCACCTCATTGGCAGTCAATTTTTTTACAGTTTTTCCTGTATATTCTGTTGGCGACGACTCAGTGATACCCATCTAAATCCTCTGAAATTAGTGTCGCATGCAACAACCAACCAGAATAGAGATACATTTCTGCAGAAACCAATAAGATCTAAGAGCTAAGGAAATGTATTCAAAATAATTAACAGAAGATGCATACTGAGGCTGTGTTAATGGCGCTGTTTTTCGGTTTATTTATTGTCCGTTGTGACCATAGATATTAATTAGAAGTTGCGTTTGTTCTTACTTTATGACAGAAACAACAGAAGATTTCTATGACGAGGGCGTCTCTGCACCATATCCAATGATTATTGAACGTAAAGTCAGAGGAAGTCGAAAAGTGCTTTTTAATGCACACTTTTTCTTCAGAAACAACTTGGACCTAGAATTGCGTTCTCATACTTACATTAATCAAGTTCGAGAGCCAGTTGCAAGATTTCTATCCCATTACTCCTACATGCGAAGTACAAACCGACCCAAGGATAGAATACAACAGATGATTGACAGTGGCGAATGGAACGAAACTATTGAAGAATGTTTCGAGAAACAAAGCCAAGGTTGCAGACGTAATGTCATGACGCGTTTTTTCTGTGGAACGGACAGATTTTGCAAGAGCGACGCGCCTAACGCGCTCATTAAAGCGAAGGAAAACATTTTACAACATTACGCTGTTGTTGGTTTGCTGGAACATTTTCAATTAACTTTAAAAATTCTACAAAGGCGACTGCCCTTTTTCGTGCCAGTTGTACCAAGGAACCCCAGTGAATTGAGAGTCAATGAAGGTGTTAAAGGCAAGAACGTTTCCGTTAGTGAGGAAATGATTTCTAAGATAAAACGAGCAAACTGGGCTGACATGGAACTTTACGATTTTATAAAAGAGAGATTTTGGAAACAGGCACGAGCTTGTGGGCTGTCTTAGCCACTTAGCTCTCAAGATTTAATCAGGAATTCTCCCCTCTTGCTCTCATACGTCACCTTGTAAACTAGTAATGAGAAATGATACACCGTTGGGCTGATCAGTTTGTCTACACTCATTACTTACTTGCAGCATAATTTTTAATAGTTTCGGGAAAAGGTGCATTTTGATCTCTTCTTGGAGTGAATGGTTAACCAACTCCTTCCTGAGATATTATAATTATTTATTTTGTAGCTATTTGTATATGCAGATATATATATATATATTATGAGAATTATTGAAGCAGAGCAATTATTCGGAATATACGTCGCATAACTCACGAAAGAAATAAATTTTAAATTTATTTTTTTTATTTAGTATGTGAGCCGTGATTAGTCAGTTTAGCGAACCATATTTCACAGTATGGTCCGCTAGATTGACATATAATAATTATTATTACTTTTTCTCGGTCCCTATCGTAAGTTTCGGAACCTCGGGGTTTTTTCACTCGGATTTTTTGCCCGCGACTATATACTAAGACTTAGACTATATATACGAACGGAAGAAACACTGTCCGTAATTTACAGTATGAATCGTGAACTCGATTAGTGAAAGGTACAGACGGTTCAACTTTCTTTACGGGAATTTTTAGTGTCTCAATTCCTTGCAAGTCTCAAGCTTTTGGAAACAGATCATATGGTCTATTCCTATAGAGCAAAATATTTTCTAAAATGGAATTTACACTTTCGTCAAAAATGGAAAGTTTCTTATCCTATCCTGTTACTGTTTACTCTCAGATTGATTATTGTTATAGAGCCTTTGTAACTATGGCAACCATTTCTGTCAGTAGCAAAGCATGGGACCTTTTTTTTTTCAGCGTTCACATGATCGTGATAGGAAATTGTTTTCTAGTCCTAAATTGATTCCAAAAATATTGATTGCAAAAGTGCACTACAACAAATTTTTGCGAATCAGTTTCATACAAGACTTCCCCATATAACAGCTAGTTATCATTGGTTAGGTGCACCATGGGCAGATGGTGTTCCGGTCGCGTTTGAATTTGAGAGAACTGGATCGAGAGATAACGCCAGCTTTGTGTTTTAGTATGTCAGGCAAAAGAATTAAAACGAATCTTTTCTTAAATGCTGACGTCACAACTCATTGTAATTATAAATGTTTTCTTCGTCGAGACATCTAGACCTTTATACGCATATGTAGCATTTCTACTTTCCGCTTGCTGGTCAGAGAATATTAAATTAGAAGCTATATTTTGCAACTAGTGGGATGACGCCGACGAAAAATTAAGATGCAAACAGGAGAGGGTTATGTCATTATTTTTCTCAGAGTTACAACAAACAAACAATCCCACTCCGCAAAACGTGACCCCCCCCCCCTTCCCCCCCCCCCCAAAAAAAAAAAAAAAAATTCCAAGTACTCTCAGGCAGAAAACTTCGCCTCATCCAAAGTTTTTTACTTTATTTTCTTTTTCAAATATTAACAACAAACAGAACAGTCCATTGAAGAAAACGGAAATGACAATCTAACTTCTCGAGTTAAAAAAAAACTTGTTACACTTTTGGTACGAATAATGTCTTTAGCACATCGTTGAACAACAGATCGTTCAACACCTAGATTCACTTACAACAATTCCTATCTATCGAGCGCCGGATTCTTTTTTCATCTAATATTCGTCTTCTTCTTCCTCCTCCATAATGTCGTGAAGAGGATTTTGCATATAATTTTCATCCCAAGACCGACTCATGTAGTGTTTCCGGAAATTTCGAGTTGGTGAAGTGATACCTTGTTGACGCTGTGGTTTCTTGAATAAGTTAGTTAGGCTTGGTAAAGTGCCGGTATTATTCTCTGGTAAATTTTGCTGCTAGAAAAATACAGTATTTATCAAACACCTACAGTTAGAGAACGGTCATTATTTGTCGCTTGAGAGTGGGAAAGGGAGGTTGACTGGGTGGTAGGATTTTGGTTATGTCGCTATAAAATCCCCCTTTTAAACCCTCCCCCCCTCCCCCCACCCACACTTCTTGGGCTCTTTAGTATTCGAGTGTTCCCCCCTATTGGCAGGCATTTTTTCATTTGTCCCTTCTTTATACTCTGTTGCCGGTGATTGATCCCTTCTCCGTCCCCCTAAAAACCGTATGATCCCAGCTAAAATCCAGTCTCCCCCGCCCTCAGGTGATAAATAATTAATGATACCTAAGTGGTTCATTAATAATCGGCTCCATTTGCCGCGAAAATATGCTTGGATACTTAGCCACAGACATTGTCTGTGTTATGAAATGAAAATCTGATATTTTTTCGTTCACTACAGTTTCATAGTTCTGTTTTTAATCATTGTCTAGTGACCTTGAGGGTTGACTAACTTTGACCGTGCAAGTGCTTGCCATGAGATCAATATAGGTATCATATAGGCATACAGGATGTACTTAAACGAGGAATGGAGAATGGGGAATCGAAAACGTGGAATGGAAAATGGGAAATATTTTTTTAGATTAAATGTTTATAGGGAATGAATATTTTTAGTGATGATTATCGATAACTACGGCATTTCTAAACGTTATATGGCTAAATAAAAGGAATTGAAAGTAATTAACGATCATGAAAGAAGGTAACTCGACTTATTTCGTCATTTTAGTATCTGAACATAGGCAAGTAAGTAGTTATTTCATAGATATTCAGAAGCTCAGGAGTTGGTTGGATCACATGCAACCAATATTTATACAAATTACCTCTTGAGACATCTGGTATGAACATTTAGCTATAACCTAAGTGGCCATTAAAATGTAAAATAACTTCCTCATAAAAAACCAATATATTGCAATTTGCGATATAGTTTTTTTTGGATTAGTTTAAGTAATGCATACGAACCGTTTTTTTTGGCCTCAGCAAAGAAGCTCCTCTTTACAAATATGTGATAACACAAATTCGCTCGCTATGATCTGCATGACGAGGGTTCGTCATACCATGCTATAATCAGCCCTCGGGAGGTGATTATAAAACTAAATTTTAGGATCGGAGAGCGATATTTTTTCGCTGGAAAATAGACGAACAATATGAAGAAAAAGATGTTATTAGTTATTTCATATAGCCCGAGTAATTGGTTTTAGGAGATGTTTAAAAGCACCTCTTACCACGACTGTAGAAGCTGTCTTCTGTTTCTTTTTATTTGGTGTGGTTTTGGTATCTTTTTTTGGCGGCTTTTTTGAATTAGCCTGCTTCCCCTTTGGATTGGTAGGTGGGGCATTTGCTCTCGTCTTTCCAGTGTTTCTCTTACCAGACGGACCAGGTTCCAGACCAGGCCGCCCTGCCGCTCTTTGTCTAGTGGCTCTCCTATTACTGTGAATCAAAAGTTAAAAGAGAGCACGAGTTATTTAAAATATACTCCGAGAGCGCATCGTATTTTCGTCTGTTTTGCATGGCCTCAGAACAATGTCTCTAAGGCCTCAGGAACGAAAAAATTGAAAGCTAAAGAACAGTTTTATTGGTTGTCTTTCAACCAGACTCAAAGTAGTCACTCAGAGCGAAAGAAAGATCACAAGAAGCCAATAAGAACTCAAGGTAAACGCATGCGCACAACCCACAACATCGTAACGCGACCGCCAAGTTAAGCTGCAATAGTGAATTAAGGTTTTCATTCGATTGGTTATTAAGGTGGCAGGAATTCGTTATCAATCACGCGGTAAAGTATTGAGCCGAACAAAACCAATCCCAGATTATCCTCTATACTTAGTGGAAATTAGCTATAGTACATAGCATTGTAAGTGCTTTTTCAGGTAAAATAGCCTTTTCTCGTTCGATGTTTTGTTATTTCGCAGTCATCAAACTTGCATGGACCGAAGCATTTTGTATGCCTTTGTTAAAGTAAAGAGATATCTTTGGCCCAGCCTTGGACTTGCGCATGAAAAATCTTTTCAAATGCATCTTCGCAAATGACAGAAAAGTTCGCATAATTTCATTTGTTATATTAAACAGTTTTTTTTTACATTGAAAATTAAGAACTTACCTTGATAATCTTAACCTGAAAAACCAACACATGCTCTCGCAAACCTTTTACATTTTAAAAGGTAAGTGTCTTAATACTATTTTGAGTCGATTCATCAAATCATCGTAGCTTTTCTGACGCGCGTAAAGGTATGACGTCACAAAGACTGAAGATCATGCGCAAATTAGGTCACGTGATAACCACATCCCTGCTTATTGACCCATCTCGTAAAACATTCGTCTCGCGTCTCGACGACGGCTAATTCTTCAAAATTCGAGGCTACGCAGGAAAAACATCATCGTGGCACTCGAAAGTTATGAGAGTTACTTGTGGGAGGTCAACGCAAAATTGTAACAGAACAACAAACGGAAAATACCGATAAAGTCCGTATTGAATCCGCTTTGGCCAATCATCAAACCTGTGGATTTCAGTGGTGAGGTTCTCCTCGCATCTGAGCTGCAATCAGTAAATGATTGAAGATAAGCGGCTTGAAAAAATTTGAGACTTTGACAAGTCGAACCCCGTGCCTCCCAGATACTGGTTGAGGACCACTACCCACTACGTGTTAGGTGTTGGGCAGATTTTAATTAGCGCGTTCTACTCAGTTCCCGTAGAGGAATTTGATCGCAGTTTCACCACCAGTTCAAACTGCAGCCCACTTGCAAAGATCATTTTTACGCTTTTATTTCGTTCGCAGGTGAAAATATGATTTATTTCATGAACATCGTTTTGTTTTTTTTTTATTCGAGTTTCATCTGAAGTCTGATCATTACCATTTGTCAACCAGGATGAAGGCCTCTTCAGTTACTAAATGCCCCATCTCTTGCTGCTCTACCGCGCCAGCCCGTGTCAAGAGTTTTTCCCGCGATCATTGATCTATATTTTAATTGGGAGGTATGACAAAATACTTAGACTAGCCCCACGGGAAACAAAGAGTTTTGTTTCCCCTCCACCCTCGGGGCCGGTTATTTACACGGTGTCCAACCCAAACCGCGGTTTTTAGCAAGCATTGGGCCTCAAGAATTCTCCCTAAGAGGGTTGATTTAATCAAATAAATGATCATCCTCTATCAGGTTTCGGCCCTCTTAACACTGTTCAGAAAAAATAAAAATTCATGTTAAAGGTTCGGCTGAATTGAAGATGGCCTACAACGCGGTTTTGTTGGACAACGGCTAATTTGTGTTCAAATAACCGCCCCCCAACGTTCTACTCACTACTTGCGGCTACTGGGATTACTAAACCGTGGATTGCAGATTGGTAATTGAGTGCTCATTAAATTACAACACCGCCAGTGATTTGAAAATGTAATGGAACAAATCCTTTATTAATTGTTGTCTGTGTATATCTATCTGTAATAATTTTCCCCCAAAAAAAGGCGTTTGAATACCCTTGACTGATCAAGACTTAAATAAGTTGAAAAAAATTCCGAGACAGTTACATTATCAAGGGCGTTCCAAGGTCAATGCCTTCCGATCACTTTATCAATTTTCCTCAAGCCAACTTTCACCGTCAATTTTAACATTATATTCCAAATTTATCTATTACTACTGCTTTTTGCAAGTATTTCTAGCTTCGATATCCTCCTGTGACGTGTTGGAAATACTTTCAAAAACTACACAGAAAGAAAACCAACGTCGACACATGGGCAACAAAATGCTGCGAGTCGAGATATATAGAAAGGCAAAAAATAATTCCCTCATTTTTCCTTGTTTTAAACATTCCCCTTGCAAAGCATCGGCTCATTCAATTTGTCTAATAAACTTCACAATCAACAGCGGCAACGCTTAACTTACACCTTATTTATAATCATAACAATCTAATCATTTATAAATATCATTATCAGCTTTCAACCTGGTTTAGGTGAAGAGTTCGTGATCGCCCGGAAAGCCCTTGTCAAGCTTCGTATTTACCGAAGTAAGCCGAAGTTGATCAATACTATTTCACTCGTGAAGCGAAATGGTATTGATTAACTTTTTATTCATTCCGCGAAAATGTCACCCAATTAATTCTTTCGTAATGATAAAGTTTACACTTGGGTTGAACTATTAACCATTAATAAGGAAAACAATATTATAATAGCAATGATGACGGCAACAAAAACAAAGCCCTTACCAGCTTCTAAATTAATCCCCCCCCCCCTCACAATTACCTCCCTCCCTCCCAAAAATCGTTTGTTACCTCGAAATAAATAGTCAAAAATTTAAAGCCATAGTCATACCATTTCAACAATACGAAAATTCACACCAGTAACTCCAACGACACCAAAGGCAACGATGACGTCATACATATCTTTTACACCACCACGCATGCTCGTGACCGCACTGACCGCAGTCTATATACTTGAAAAAACAGGACCTGTCGGAACTTTACAGTGTCAACTTGTGGCACGTTTTTTACCTTTCTTTTTTTATAGGGGCCGAAAGAAACAATGAATTAAAATGGTAAAAAAGCACCAAAGGAAGCTGTATGATCTACAAAAGCACCATCATAGTTAACAAAGAGAAAGGTTAAAACGGACCGCGAGAGACAAGGTTGGAATAGTTTTAAAACCTTTCTTAAAAGAGTGCACCGAATAAGGCGTCGACCTGGCCGTCTCGCGTTGCCAATGCTGCGATCGAATTCTGAACTAAATTTTCTGCTTCCATCTTAAAAAACATGATGTGGTACAAAAATAAAAGGAACATCTGTACACAATGATGTTGTTATTTGAACTTAAATGCGAACAAGAAAGGACCTGATAATGATCTGAGCTACATGATCCAGACTAACAATTTTAGGATTAGAGCAATTCACCTGCGACACAAATGGAGAAGATTTACTTATCAATGCAAATTTTCTTCTAAAATAAATACTGATTCGGTTTCTATTTTCCTTCTTTCTTTCCACTTCTTTTTTCTTTAGGAAGCACAAAGCAGTTTCAATCAATGTCATTATTATCTGATCAACTCCGCACCTACCCCTCCCCTAACCCAATATTGACCGTAACTCGTTATCAGTTGACTGGGTTAGGGGAGGGGTTGGCGCGCAGCTGCTTTGATACTGAAATGGATTCGACAATTTTGTAGAATTCTAGAAAACTGAAAAAAAAAAATTTTGAAAGAAAACCAGATTAGTCGAATCAAATGTCCCATAAAAGGCTTTTTAAGTCCTTCAAATGTGGTAAAAATTTGAAGAAATAGTTATTTCACCCAGTTACATTTTTCAGTCAAGGAGCTTGAGCATCGAAGTTGACAGCCTACAACGTTGCGTGACACTCTTCTTCGCGGGTGATACGTCACGCAAAATCATTCGACTTATACATCACGCGGGACTGTTCCCAATTAAACGTCACGAAAGACTTATCTAAATAATTTTGCATCTTGCGCGGATTACACTAAGTGCAAGGCATAAAAACCTAACAATGTATCTTAATCTCTACCGTTTGGGAAAAAATGTTCGTAAAGGCCGAGCAATTTTAATTTTGATAGGACCTAAGGAAGGGAAATTTAAAAGATGTCTGGACACGTTTTCCAATCTCTATTCCAGTACGTTCCGGTGAATATCCAGTCCATCTGTTCTGTGTATGGATTTATGTCTTCTTTGAACCACCTAGACAAGAAAACAGGGTTAAGCTATTAAGAAAGATACCAGTTATTTACCAGTGAGTAAACGTTCATGGCTCTGTGATCAGATGCTAGAATACGCATATTAGAATATACAAGAATAAAATAGCGGTCGAGCATACGCAAGGGGATTACTGTCCGCCTGCTGCACGTCAATTTAATAGAAACATAGGCAAAAACACCGCCGTCACGCTAAATATGCGGAAAAAAAAATGAACCGAATCTGTGAAAGAAACCAAAAGTGGGGGAGAGGAAACTGGAAACTTTTCGAACACAAAGCTTATTTAATACAAAACATCCTGTTAATTTCCCATTGTGTTTTGAGCTTTATCGAAAAAGGTATACGGTTTTAAAAACCTTGACTTGCTGGTTTCTGTGGTTATGACATGATTTAAATAAAATGCAAAAAAAAGTTATGCTTACCTGGGAATCCAACGCTCATGTTTTTGTCTTTCTTTTCTCGCTGCTCTTTGCTTTTCCTCCAGTCGTATTTTTTCCATAGTAGCTGTATCTATAAAGAATGATAAAAAAAACATACAAAAATGTTATCAATGAAAACTTTCGTCTATCTGTCCGTCACCGGTATTCATTTAATTATTCATTCAATTCAATTATTTAACCGATTCAGTCAGACTGTCAGTGAGAGACAGACAGTCAATCATTCAGTCAGTCAGTCAGTCAGCCAAACAGATAGCTTGTCAAACTGAAAGCCGGACTCAATAAATAGCTACTAGTAGTAACGTAACGTTGGTCAATCTTTCTAACAATCGTACATTATAACAGACTGTCAGTGAGAGAGACAGACAGTCAATCATTCGGTCAGTCAGTCAGTCAGCCAAACAGATAGCTTGTCAAACTGAAAGCCAGACTCAATAAATAGCTACTAGTAGCTATTTAGTGTCTGGAATTCAATCAATTACACAGACGCCGGTAAGTTAGCCAGCGAGTCAGCCAGTCAGCGGGTTAGTATGTCAGCAATTCATTAGGTCAGTCAGTCAGTATGCCAATTACTGAGGCAATAAGTCAATCGGCTAAATGGTCTACTTTTCAGTCAGTTGGTCAGTCCGTCACTCAGTCAGTCAGTCGTTCAGTCCATTCGTCTGTCCGTCCATCCACCAACCACTCCGTAACGTTGGTCAATCTTTCTAACAATCGTACATTATAACTAAACTTACCTAAATCACCGTTTTCTAACGCCCGACAGTCAGGTCTGAGCCTTGAATCTGTCGGTGGTAACTAAAGAAAAAAAAATGTTATTAATAAAAAATGCAGTCCTGCTCTTATACTTCACAAATAAAACAAAATCTGCAAAAACTGTCGTCAAAGAAACCTGTTCAGGTCTTTCGAAGACAAGAAGTAACAAACAAGTTGATAATTGTTCCATACCGTGGCTTTATCTTCTTCATGGAGTTCATTTAACTGCATTGCGTATGTCGTGAAATTGTACATCTGTTCAAAATGAAAAGGATCATGACATGAAATATATGTGAAGCACACAATGTGTCCCTAGTTTCCAGTCCATGGGCATAAGTACTTCAATCCTCAAGCGTAATTATTATTAGCGATCGATGATTCGAAAAGCTTAATAGTTTGCAACTAAAGCGGAGACCAGCGAATAGCTAATGTCAGCGTTGGCTTTGCAAAGGACTGTATTTAAACTTTTCCGGGGAAAAGTTTGTTCCCCGTCATAGGTATTTACGCTACGCCATAGCGCGCATTGATTAAGTGCCGTTAAACCGACAAAAAAAAAGATCTTTAAGGCCAAAATTAAAACTTGTGAATATGAAAGTGATCTTCGCGGTAATAAACACTACTTGAGCGGTAGAAAAAATAAGGCCTGAAAAAATTTAGGCCTGTACGGGATTTGAATCCATGACCTTTGCGATACCGGTACAGTGCTCTACCAACTGAGCTACCAGGCCAACTGGTAGCTGGTCAGGCCTGAAATTTTTTCAGGTCCTCTTTTCACTAATGCTCAAGTAGTGTTCATTACTGCGGAGATCGCTTTCATATTGACGTCTTTATCCGCAATTCACATATATGATTTTCATGTTTCACAATCAAAAGTAAAACTGCTGGATTGAATTCATGCGCATGACCAACACAAGAGAACAACTCGCCGCAGAACACACGGAGCGGTTTGTCGCAGATACCAGCCACAGGGATGGAAGCCTGTTCGTTTCCAATCCTTACCTGTTTACTATTAGGAGGTCGCTCTTGAAATCTCCAGAGGGTCTTGGGTACCGAGGTGTCCACGCTGACGCTTCCACCGCTACTACCGCTACTGAAACTCTCTAGAGAAGTGGCGGATGCAAAGCTGTTTTCGCTGCCATCTGACCGCCGTCTCTTGCTTTCTCGTTTAGATTCCTTCCTAGTGATTTTGTCCACAGTGAAGCACTGGATGCAATCCGTCCAGTCTCCACGCAGAATGAACCGCTTTCTCTTGCTGCGAATTGAAGGAGTTTGAGTCAAGCGCAATAAACTAAATTATTCCGCAGGCTAAGAGATGTTTACTGCCGGAGCTTACCCTAATGCCAATTACATGAATGTCTAGGAGCACTGTTATCATCTTGAGAAGCTGGTCCATCAAATGTTACCCAACTTCCCCTCCCCCCCCCCCCTTCTATCTATCGAGTTTCTCTGACAGTTCACTAAAACGCATTTATAAAGTTTCTTGCCCGAGAAAACATCTCAATCATCTAGTCAGCGGTCGAGAGAGGGTCTACCCACCCAGAATTCCGCGCGCCACCCAAAAGGTTACTGGACCTCCAGCTTAAAACTTGAGAAAAAAACGTGATACTTTGTATACAAGATAGTGATTCTATAAAAGAACAGTATCGATAATTTACCGTTTTTTTTTACAAACAGTGCTCAATAACTTGTTAATTTTCCTTTGAATTTCAAATTAATGAAAACCATCCTCATTCTGATTTCAGAGAGCAGAAATAGACAGCAATAACTGTCAGAAGACATCCCTACTTCCGACAAGAAGGAGATTTGAGCTTGAAACAGGGAGAATACTTCTTTAAATTGTCAGAGTGAAAAGGAAACTTACTCAGCGGAGAAAATGGAACCTTCCACCTTGTTGAGTTCTTTACCAAACCATCCGCCAGGTTTAAAATGTATCAAGCTGTAGTCTCCCGTGGTGTGGTTGGTAATTTCTATCTGACCGAACTGAGAGGAAAAACAATAACTTTTAGGAAACATTTTACTTCGATGAAGCACGGCCATGTGTATTATCCCTTTTTAGCCCACCAATTGATCAGTGACAGTAAATCATATTTTGACAAATCAGCAAACAAATTGTCACATAATTAACCAATAATATGACACCATGGTGAGTTGCGAGAAATCCACCTATCAGCAATCACTTTACCGACACACGTCGGCCACGTCAGCGAGTAATTTTTGTCGGGAAAAATCTCGACGTGTTATATAACGAGCAACACAGCATTTGCCGCACATTGGATGAGAAAACAAACAAGCTAACAAAAGATAACAACTAACTTGTTCAATCCAAAGCTGTCCCACAATGATATTGTGAACGCAACTATTGACGTTATTCCACGTGTAAACTTCATTGCGTCTTGGGAAAACAACACAAAGTTATAATGATAAGAGATACCATTGTAGAAAATCAAATAAAAGGAAAATTACCTCATGAGGGGAGGAGGGAGGGGCATCAGTATGTAAGGTATTAGTGCCAGACTATAATGATAAGGTTATTAACAATTAACTGTTATCAACTTACTTTGGGAACTTGAGTGTGACCATGCCTTTCGGTTGAATTTCAACCCCTTTTCCCCAGAACTTGAGCTTGGGTTGAACTGTGACATGGAACACGAAGTCTTCACTTTCAACTTGCACTGCACTAACAGGAGGGTGATGACTAACCTGTGAAAATTAACCACAAAGAAAGCAGTTCTTGAATACGCCGTTGTTTTTGTGCGCAAGACGGAAGAGCGATCACATGGGTTTTAGCGGGTGATCACGACTGAGTCATGCGTGATTAAGCTGGTCTACGGTTTTAGAGCGAAGTGCTTCGCAGCATTCTCCGCGCTTTCTGCTTCCTCGTTTGCCATGTATTTTCAACAAGGAAAGATGTGTTATAGTTTTCACTACTGCACTGTTATGCACTTTTGAAACCGAACAAAAGCCTGCTTTTCTATTCCCTATTAACTCTCACCTGTTCAGCAACAAGTTTGAAACCCAAGTCTTCTCTGTAAAAGAATAAAAAAAATTGTCATGAGAAATAACTCCGAACCAACAGAATAGATCGCAAAACATCTCATTATCCTTACCGGACCAGTTCATAAGTTTCTCCAAGGAGTGGGTTAAAAGGTTTTCCTACTCTGTCTAAATTCGATGCAGTGGCTGATATTGCAAACGCGCAAACAAACTGTTGAAAAACGAAATAAGGAATATGATATCAACGCAAGAAGGTCGAAGAGGATACCCGTACTAGAAATAGTTGAGTTAAAAACTGCAGAGGAAAGAATTCTAATGATAAAGTAGTCGCAGGACCTGAACAAAGCAACAACAATAACAATAACAATAACAATAACCACAATTCAATCTAGAACGAGATTCAAATCCAAGACCACGTTAGGACCGAGACATAACCGGTGTAAAAAAATCGCCTCGCAGATCATCACCTAACTCTACATGACAACTCCTTCTGTCACGCAATCATCTAACCCTGCACATGTTTTACCTGCATTCTCAACAGCGGATCGTCTAAACTTGAGGCCGTGTGAAGGAGGTTTACATATTCCATGTACTCTGCCACACGCTGCAGAAACGTCAGCGGCTCATTGAAAATTACTAAAACGTGACAAAGTAATGAGGTAAATGTCCGTCACGTGACAAAGCCTACTGTTTAGTAGGCTCGTTCGGGTTTTAAGTGATTTTTTCCACATGGCTCTAATTGAATAGCTTCATAAGAAACGTTTGCTCTCCATCACCTCTATTTTCTCAATTTAACTGGACTAAAGAAGCTAGTGGAGACGTAGAATTGTTAATCAGAATAGTAGAACTGAACTTCAATGTACACCATTTGAAAAATGAAATGAGCTCATAGTAGCTACCCGATCTTTGTTTCATAAAAAAACTGCTAACCTCAGACTAAGGTTTGTGATTTATTCTTTCTGATTTGAACAAATACTGATTAAATATTTAAAACGACTATTGCAAACGAACCTGGCATTGTAATTCTTGACAAATCCTGCAAGAATAACGAGGAAGATGTTAGGTGTTGTATGTGTTCAGTAGGGGTGGGGAGAGGAGAGAGGGGAGAGGGGGGAAGGAGAGAGAGAGGGAGAGGGGGGGGGGGATGGAATCATCACGTGACACTAATACAGGTGGTATCTTACCTTTCCTATACATTGTCTAAGTACCGCCCACACGCTGAATTCGTTCCTAGAAAGCATAGCTACAGGCAAGGCGGTTCTGCGGGGAGAGAAAATTTTCCATACGTCATCATAAACTAGTGCCATCCTTTAGGTGATTGTAAAGACACACTCTCTGATTGGTCGACAATGTCTATTGTAATCAGCATGCATATGGTAATTAACCTCTTAACTCCCAGAAGTGATTAACATGTAACTTCTCCCAATAATATCCATACATTATCCCGCAGGTAATGAAAAAACTCCAACTTAACAGGTAGAAATTGTTATCTTGATCTAACACTAAATTCTCATAACTTGTTTACAAGAAAAAGTGTAGCAGCTAGAGTAGAGAATTAACAATCAGATCTTGGGAGTTATAGGGTCATCACATCGAAACAATAATTTCGAAACGGTCTAGAAAAGGTCACCCAGTTTGTTGCACAAGATGGTTCTGACGTCAAAATAGGTATTCAAAACTCTTGTGAAAGATCATTTACACGAAAACTACTGACGGTACTTTCATTACCCAGTGACTAATCTCCTGCTCAAAGTTATTCTAACTCCCAAGTCTCTGGAAAAACCCACTATTGTATAATACATTCAAATGAAAGCTATTCATTTTTTCGTATATGTGGGGTTCGTTCCTTGAGAAATTGTAGTACTGCGTCGCTGAAGGGGGTATTACAAGATGCTTCCTTTTAATTAACTGAGTTCGTAATGTAAATTAGCCACCGTAAAAAGTTCCTGACATTTCGAGCTTTAGCTCTTCGTCAGAGTTTCTTTTGCTCCAACGAGGGGATAACGCTCGAAACGTCTGTTTTAAAAACTCTTCACAGTGGCTAATTTACATTATCAACTCAACTGATAAAACCAAATTATTAAGTACTTTCATGCGGTACAATTAACCATGCTGTAAAAAGTGGTTCCAACGTTTTCGCCAAGGAAGAAAAGTAACCCTGATATGTTACCATTTAGATGAAAACTAATCCCAAGCAATACTTTCATGTATGGTACAACCCATTTCACTGTTCAAGGTGTTCCAACATAAACGTGTACTGTACGATGAAATCACTTAAATGAAAGCTACTAGGCATATGATACTTCTTCCACGACAAGGATCTCACAATTCTAATTCGTGCGTAATTATACTTGGATTCTAACACAGCACACAATACCTGTGGCGCATTTTGCCATTCGCTTTCTTCTCAGTTTCTTGTTTCCTGTACAGCGCCGCTGATTGCTCCATGTCGCTGGAGGCAGATTTCGACTTTTGCAGACTTTCAGAATCTAGCAAATGCCTAATTTCCGATTTGGCTGCAATATTTGTATCGGACGTACTTCTCGTCAACGAAAGTCTGTTCAAATTTCCCAGCTTTCTTCCAGAAGTTGCCCTCTTAATATTGTTACTATTCGTACTAGTGTCAGGTACGACAATTGTTTCAACGTGATTCTGTTGAACTTCTTGCCCTGCTGCTTCAAGGGTTGCTACACTTGGTACGTACTCGTCGCCATCGTCGCTGTCGTCATCCGAGAGCAAGTCGTCTGGAAGAGGGCAACCAACGTCCGATCTTGCATCGAAAAACTCTTCGTTACAATCACTCGTCAAAGTCATGCGACTTCCATGAATGAACTGCTAAATTAAAAAAACAATCATATCATGCTTACCGTTTTATCTCTCAATATCACGATAACAATTCTCTCTTCTGGTTGCCAACCATTTCTTTGCAAAGACGTGAGGAGAATTTAGCGGTAGAGCAGTTTTCGTTTGATTGTCGAAAACCAAAATCAAACTAACCTCAATAGCCAATCAAAACAAAAGTTAACTTCATCATTAGCCGTTGAGAACTCGAGATCAAGGGGGGGGGGGCCCGGCAGGTGCAAAGAACTAGTCAGGGAGAAGGGGGAAGGGATCGAAAGAAATATTTTTTTTCCAATCTCCTCCCCAGTCACCATTTTCGCTCTTCTTACTACCACCTCCTCAGTAAGTTTTTGTAATCGCTTCAGGCTTTCCTCAATCTTAAAAATCTAAATAGCTGCTGTATTCAACATATGTTCTAGACCGCAGAACCGGCGTGATCTTTTTGGGTTCATCAGGGTATGAGGCACATGAGAAGTTTATAGAGCATGAAAGAAGCTCGAGGCGCGGCCGAGAGCAATTCTTACTCCTTGAGTGCTCTGTAAACCTCCTAACGAGCTCTGTGTCTCAATGAACGTACAACTGGCACGCAAACTTAATTCTCTAAAACAACTTCGACGGACTAGTTATAGTGTGTTTGAGAAGAAAATTTCTACCATGCTGTAATGAGTAGACAGTACATATGTCATTAGGGTACACAATGGAAAATTAAGAACACACGCGTCAGTGAATTTGGTAATACGAATTTAATCTCTAAGTCAAAATGAATATTGGGCTACCACAACACGCAAACACGCGTAAACTCAATGGACTGGCTGATATCGCAGAATATCATTCGACTGAGAAGCTAATATTTCAATTCTCTTTTGAACCTGCCAAACATGTCCTTGAAAAATAAGTCGAAATGGTGTAGTGTTTTACCAAGACAAAACTCTGTGGTTAATATGTTTATCTGTTCATTCTCACAACCCGTCTGCGAGATAATGCATCAGTATTGCAGGGATATTCGGGGGGTTTATTGATTCTGAGAGTGAATAATTCCATCGGACTGTTTGTTGTAATACTATATCGAAAATCGCGGCAATAAATCCCCCTGACGTGTTCTTTCTTTAGCGCTGCGTTTGAAACGATATTAACTTTGATTACCAAAATGGATTCTGTGTTCTATCTTCATCATTTATAATTCATACCTCTTAAAACAAAATACTCTAAGCAGTACAACTGAGACGTTCAAATGAAGGCGAATGAATTTAGGATAAACGTTCAGTCAATAAATTCCATTCTCGAACAAGATTTTTACCTGGAATTATTTGTCTTCGGTTACGTTGGCCCGTGGACGTAAGATTCAACTCATGACAAATTGTAATGACCGAAAAATATTCCTAAGACGCGAATATGAAAATACCAAAACCACATTTCATAGTGCTCCGTGTATTTATCATAACTCGAGTTTAATCATGCTAACTTTTTTCTGCTGTTATTGAAAATGATAATTCGAGAGAGAGTCTGGCAGATTTCACACAAGTCTCATTGGAAAGAATACTTGTCGTATTTGAATAACAAATTAGTCAAAAAGGTGCCTAAGCTTGGAAGATAATTCATCACGGAACGTCCACCAGAAATCAAAGCAGTAATGTGAAAAATAGTTACGATATTTAAGAACGCGAGGTATAAAAATTATATGAAGCTTATATTGACCTAACCAACAGGACAAGATTTCTCGCCGGTTGACGACTAAACATGAAGCGCTTCAGTTCATTCAATTATCTCTTTCTTTAGAATTCCTATTACTCGTTTACTCCACTGATAAAACTTTTATTCGATACGGCAAAACTAATCCATCAATTTCATTACAGCAAAGAAACGGATTCATTTCGTTCCGATTTCGCATCAAATGACCGAGGAAGTCATCCGTATAAATTCTATTCCTAAATGATTTTTTCCTATCATGATTTCATCAGATCATGTCGTGTAAATACGCTTTACACATAAAAATGTCAGAGATCACTAAAACTGGTCAATAGGACTACAACTGATCCTTAAATAAAAGTAGATAACAATGCTAAAATTTGCCATCTTTTCACGGATTAAAACCTTTCTTGAATATTTATAACCTCCATATTTGAAGGTGAATTTTAAGCGTCTTACACAAATACAGCTTTTTAAAAGCGATCGCTCGTGAAATTCGCCCGAGCGAAACATATTTTCCTTAAAATCTATTTGACACATTTTCTGTTGATTTTCAAAGTTGTAAGCCAATCGGAAAGCCAGAAAACCGCACAAACAACTTGACATCTATGCTAAAGGACAAGTCAGAAATCCGATTGGCTAAAAATTAAAAAAACCAATTTAAAAACGCCAGAAATAAACACAAATTTTCACCCAGAGACAATGGCCTAACGCGGGTTTTGACAAACACCTACAGCTATGCAAATGTAATGCAAATTCTTTGAAGAGGGAAGAATACGCGATGGCAAAATTAAACGGCGAGATCTTACCTCGTGGGCTCCAATTGAGCACTCCAAAGCATGATGTTCTGTCGCCAAGACGTGAAGAGCATCCTCAAGGACTCTTCGTTTCTCTACTTCTTCTTCAAATCTAAGATGACGCACCTGAAATTCCGAATTAAGCGAGAACGAAGCAAGAAGATGCTACTGACAAAACGTCCACACTGAAGACGTAATTAACATAAACCCTGCTTAAAACCGCTGACAGGTAATAATAGGACACCAAGTAAACACGGCAGTTGCCGGAAGTAAGTTTTATAAACTAAAACCACAATACAACCGCGTTGAATAGCTCTTTCTTCTCAACGTATCTGTTTTGATCGATGTTATCAAATCTTTCATTTAATTATTACAAAAACCTTCCCTTTAAAGTGAAAACGCGAAACGTTTCAACGACGACATCGCCCAAGGATATTCAAAAAGTCTTCGAGAATTTCTCGCCGCCAAAGATCGCCATCTTGATCAAATTTTACTGTCGGGTTCTTGACTTAAATTACAGTAATAATACATGTGATACATTCTGGTTTTTGGGATTAAACGAGACTGCCACGTATGGCAAAAGGAGTGAACATTATAGAAAATAAAATATTTTACACTCGAATAGGAACGGTTACCGAAAATGAAATCAATATAACAATGAATTATAAAGTACTACGAAAATGAAACGGCTCACAGACGGTCAATATTAAGAACGATCACAAAGGATTCCACCTTTTCGTCCCAACTGTATTATTACTCGGTCTATGTTCATTAACTGAACACACAGACGGCAAAATGGCAGCTATGATTTCACTTGTTCAAAGGTAGGATCAACAACGTAATTTACATGAAGTTAAATTTGATTTCTGAATGTTTCCGCTGTCCGATCGTACCTCCTCTTGTTGTGACAGTAAATCCAAACAGTGAGTCAGAGCGTTACACATATTACGAGCTGTCGCTACCACCTCGTTGAGTTTCTCGCTGATCTTCACTAAACTTCCTGCCATAGGAAAAAAAAAAACAAACAAACAGCATACATCAAACGAGCGAACAGCTATACCTAAAATCATCAGCAGTTGAAGGAGAAAAGTCAAAAAAGACTTAACCCTTAAACTACTTTAAGTCAGTGATAGTCGTGTAACGTCTACTTATGATATTAATTACATTATCCATTAAACAGGTAACGAGAATACTTAAACTAATCAGGTAAAAGTTGTTATCTTGATCCAACACCTAATTCTCATAACTTACTTACACGGAAATGTGTAACAGCTAGGGGGGGAGAATTAACAATCAGAAATTTGGAGTTTAAGGGTTAAACGGCAACGAATCGAAAACGTCTTCTTAACATCAATTTCCAAATGAATAAATTCGTTTGGTCAAGAACGTGGGTCACAGAAAAAAATCTAATCCCTCGTTAGCAATCCACCCCTTTCTCTCATATTGCATTACATAATCGTTGTTTTCGACATTGCTGATGCGAAGAGTGTGAAGGGGCTTGTCACATCAAGGGCGTAGCTGGAATTTTTCAAAGAGAATCAGGAGTAGGGGTCACGGTTTTTTTTTTTGGGAGCTTTACATGCAGTGGCTTTTACCGCGAGTTGTCACGCGTGTTGCGACGGATGCACTGCGTGACTCATAACCTATGTGTCTCACCTTTAGAATTTGACTCCGATGAATACGAGTTGGATACGTCTGCAATTGTCTTATTTATTCCACCAACTTGTTCGTCGAGAAGTTGCTGATGGGCACGAGCGCTCTGTGTATCAACAATACACGTGTCGGTTAAATTATTCTTCAAGATTAAAACCTTACCCGTAACACCCTAACGTCATTTTGCATATTCTCCATACTGGTCTTAATATATTTGCTAAGATACTGACAAGGAGAATTTGTTTATAAATCAAGAGCATCTCTAGTTGGTGATCATTTTCTTTAGTCTCGTGTCATTAATGTTTGTTCAAGGAGTGATATTGTAGGGAGAAATTAGATGCTGGTCAATCTTGGGGGTTAAAAGGTTGATCATTCACCTTTAGCGAATCCTGCATGCTCCCCAACGGTATCACATCCTGTTCTTGATCATCAATAAGTACTGTGGGTTGAGTTGTGTAAAAAGTGCTATAGGCGCAGTGCTCGTGCAGAGAGTTTAACCATCGCTAGAATGAGAATGCAGATTAAAAGGAACTTTCACTAAGGCTTTCACTGGTGGCTGATGGCCGCCGTTCACAGGCAACCTGTGGCACTACATGCTAAATTTATAGAGACGTAGGATAGAATGGAAAGGGGTAGTAGATGTATCGACAGGCTGGAGCAGTGCAGTGCCTTTCCATGGATGTCGAAAGAAAAATACTTAATAGACACACCAGCCACACAGCACAAACAAGAAGCAAATTTCAGATGAAGTCGGTGGGAACTCAGGATAAAGCCATTCCCATTTTTCTCAAGCACGGGAAATCTTCAACACCCAAGTTACGTTCCCCTTCCACCACCCCCACCCTCACTCAACCCCCTCGTCCCACCCCTCGCTTCAGTCGAAGCCAGTTCTTCTTTGCCCTACCGACCGGATTTCATAGGCTCCTGAGTCGCGCTTGGCCCGAGTTTCTTGACTAATGACAGCTCATGGCAAAGCAATCCCGGAATCCCAGTGACACCCAGTTGAAAGCTCCTGTAACATGGTTGCCAGTGAGACCAAAGACAACTATCTGTTGAGGCCCATCCGACACTAGTAACAGAGGAATAAAAGTTCTAGCCTGCGAGCTAATTTGCCGAGGATTTGGGACTACTAGACCCCTTGCAGACCTCATGCTTACTTACGTTGCTCAAGGCCTCATACATGATGCGAACACACGCTCGAGTCGTACCGCTGATAAATAAGGGCCCGCGCGCAGGCTACAAAAACTCCCAGACGTAGAATTCTTCGCTTCAAAGTGAAATGCAAAGCGAAATAGCGGAGAACGAGTTAAAGGGAAGGCCACCGTGAAAACCAGACCTACTCCATAAGAAAGGCTTAGAAAAAGGATTTAACGATACAGACCTGGCGTTGGACTTGTGGAGTTTTTTCACTCGGTGGAATGCTCCAGATCTGAACGGTGTTATCTGAATAATGGATTTTAATTTTGTGCTTCTCGTCCTTAGGTACCTACAAAGGAGGACGCAAAGACGATGCAGTTACACACAAAACATTGTAGAAGTTTTAAAAGAAGATTTTGTTGCTCTGAGATTGTGGACACTCTAGCTACACAAACGAAGGTTTACAGAGATACACAACACAATAATCACGAAGTAAGAAAGATTGCTCAACAAACTTACCGAAAATTTACAGCGGTCTAAATATCTATAACCTTGTCTCTTCACACTCCCTGCTGCATCAGCTCTGAGTAAAACAAAAGGTGTCAATTTTTACCACGATTTAAAAACTCTGAAAAGCAAAGTCAAGATATTTTGAATCCTTGTATGACGCACAAATCTAGAAAATACTGTAAAGTTAATAGTTACTTCTTGCCCTTTGCATCTATCTTCTTGCAAATCCACAGATATTCTCAGAACTTTTATGGTGAGAATAAAAGCGTTACTTTCGTTCCTGTGCAAAATTTCACGCGCACTTGACACGCACTCAAGTGAAAAAAAAGGCCTTTTTTCTTTCCAAAATTTAAATCTCGATTCCGTCAAATTCCATTAAAAAAATAAATTTGAACCATTTAGAAGGATGCAGTCCTCTGTAAAGTACTCACCTCTTATTAAAATAGCTAAGTACACCTCTCTCTAGGACAACCCAGAATTTCTTCCACCCAAAGAACCGGGAACGCTGCGAACATTAAAAAGACCGTCAATACAAAGAAAACGATACACTTCATGCAAAAAAAGAAAAAAAAATTTAAAGGCTTTTAGAAAAATTTAACTCCAGTATAAACTGTTCCGATAGTAGTTTAGAGTGAATTCCAGTCAGTTTAGCGCAGCTACCGTTGAAACTCACGTCACTTATACTAATGTGGAGTATCTCACCTTGAGCAGAGCACCTTCATGTCTTGACACCACCTTGTGAAGTTTCTGTCACAGAGATGGTCCAAAAGATTTATCTCTAATCTCATTAAAATTTATCTAGCAACAAGTTTTGACAAATGACACTTTTTTTCCTGCTTTTTAAATTTAATCTAGAATTTTAAAAAGCGTTCTTCAAATACACCTCGCGGAAAAACGTGATTGACTAGGAAGGCGGAAAATTTTCATCTGATAAGTTAAGAGAGTGGAACGAGTTGTGCGACTCCCCAAGTATATACTAAAGCAAGAAGCAGTACAATCTTACATCACCTTCGATTCTCGTTATTGCAAATTGCTCTATAGTAGTACCATGGTGGAATCTCTATATCTCCATTTCTCGGTTTCTCGACGCTCCCGATAATTCAAACTATATTTAACTTTTCAAGCTCTTTCCAGATTTTTCGAACTCTCCAAGAATTCAGACCAATGTCCGAAATATCAGTATTGCGCTGTGGTAAAAAAGTGTCCAAACGAGATCCTTCTGGAGTCTCCAAAGTACATATTGCCACAAAGGGACTTAATTTAAACAGGAAACCACATACTTTTTACAAGAACTATTGAAAATGAATAAGATCTGCTTGATACAAACCTGCAGTGGTTGAACATCCAACAATTGCTTCATTTTCTTATTAGTGGCTAAATCCAAGGCTGTCTGACCTAAGTTTTACAAATACAGGTAACGAGAATACTTAAACTTATCAGGTAGAAGTTGTTATCTTGATCTAACACCAAATTCTCCTAGCTAATTTACGAGGAAATGTGTAGCAGCTAGAGGGGACAATTAACAATCAGATCTTGGGAGTTGGGGAGGGGGTAAACGACTATCATTCTAAACAGTAGTACATGTGTACAATTATATGCTTTTGCCCTCAATCAATAATAAGGACCCTGAGCAGTTTGGGAGGCGACGCCAAGGGAGACATCTATTAAACAATCAATGTGTATTTTAAGATCGAATTTCGTAAACGGCTGGATGCGTTTACCGTCTCTTAGGGAAGTCTCTTAACCGAAAGTTAACCTCAGAATAATGTATGTGAGTAGTGATGAGCTCCGTATAGAAACTTCAATAATTTGCCGTCGGGGTTTCCTTTCTCAGACCACGTAAATTTTTTATGATTTCAAGTTGTTATTTTGCAGAGGACGGCGAAGAAATGTAAACACTTCTAAAACGCATGAGCTACATTAGATCTTTTTTTTTGCCACGTCCTCGTTGCCGCCGCTATCGTGGTTTGCTTAAGGTCCCTATCATGTAACACACAAAGCAATGACCCAGTCATTTTCTTACCATTGCTGTTTTTGATAGTGGTGTCTGCCCCGTGCTGTAAAAGTGTGACTGCAATCACTTTGTGTCCCCTGACAAAAAAAATGGTGTTCTTGAAACTCAGTCTTTCTACACCTCCCCTATTCTCTATCATCAAACTAAAACTCTTAAGACCAAATTCATGTGTAGTGGTTAAAGAAAAAAAAACAGCTTTGTTTATACACGTATATTAGAAAAGGAATTTAACCACTCTTTCCTACACTCGCATTGGACAGTACTGTATCTGTACATGTATCCTCTAAACGTTAATCTTTAGAAAGCTCCATCCAAAGGCTGCGATCACTTACAAGGAACTTGAACCTGACGTTCTCAATTTTTTATAACAGAAAGTTTCATTGCCATAACTTTTCAAGCCTTAGAAGAAGAAATTAAAAATTCCAAAACGATAGCAACTTAAGAATAGCCAGACATATAATGTAGCTTGTTAGCAGCCAAGATAACAAAGGCCTACATTGATATCTCATAATCGTTGGTTACTTGTGAAATTCACCTTATACGGGTTGTACCTTAGTTTTAATTTGCCATTGTCACAGATTTCAATTGGTTTAGTGACACTCAGTTGAAAGGGAATCGAAGACTTCAATATTAGAGTACAATTTTCATGGCAAGATACGCTAAATGATACTCCTATTCTGATTGGTTCTTACTTACAATCTAATACGGACAGACGCATAGCTAAAGTCACAGTTAACGACAGTTTTCTATCATCATATAAAACAAATAGATTCCATGGGTCTGTACAGTAAAAGATCAGAGAAGCATTCAAAATGTGGTAAAAGCATCGAGATACACCCAGATGCACCTCACGTGCCACTTCTTTGTTCTTCATACATTTGACGCCATCTGTGATATATTACTGAACAGATTCACGACAACATGGAATCTCATTGTTAAATCAAATTTGTAATTCTCCTTAATCTTAACCATACAGTTCTCATAATGTTAGTTCAGAGAATTTAGAATTGGATCAACTAATTATTCCCAAATTGATATTTTTCTTTACTCTCATCATCGTATTGATATTGTCAGGAGAAATTCTGTCAATGGAGTTAAAGGGTTTTGACCTACAGACTGTGTAAAAAATGTATGTCTTTTCCAACATGTTGATATTTGGAGGATTTGTACTATCAATCTGAAAATATATCAATTAAATAGAAAACCATCACTTTCACAGTCTGGTTAGGAGGTCAAGCACTAGCTTGTCTAGGTAATTTCCAGTGTATATTAGATACAGGTAATTTAGTGTTAACAGCTGAGTTGAAAACATAAACTGACCACCATAAAGAGTTTAAAGGCTGACATTTCAAGCATTAGTCCTTCATCAGAGTGATTGGAGGAATTGTGGGTTGTGTGTGGGTTTATATGCAGAAAATGGAGCTATGCTATTGGTGGGAATATGGTGACAAGAAAACAAGAATAAATAATTTGAATGAAAAGCGTTTGTTGATACTGTGGGGATTAAGAGTGCCAATTTGGAAGATAAATTTTTGTTCTAGTGTTTTGCAGCTTTTTGAACTGCCTAGATGTAAGGAAGGCTGGAAACTGCCATATGTTGTTTAGAATGATTAGGGAAATTATCTTAGATACAATCAGATCCTTGACATGACCCACCATTTCATAAAAGACCAAATCATGTCCAAGGACATTTCAAGAATCACAGAAGTCATTAAAAAGAGTGGACATGAGCAAGTCCCCAGTGCTCTTGTAACAACAATTAAAGGTTTGGGCAAAGGGATGATCATTAACAAGGGGTGATGAGAAGCAGGTATGTAAAGGAATAGGAAAAACTCAGATATAATTAACACTCCGAAAAGTACATACAAGTATAGTCTCATTTGTCATGAAAAATTTGATTTTAATGTGTATACCAGTTTCTTCAGCTCTGAGGTGTCACCTTCCCTTGCAGCTGTGAGCAAACGTTCCTCAAGTTTCAGCTGGAGACTCCTTTCTGCAGCTGAACAGGGGCAAAATCAGAATGATGCAATTAGTGGGTATTAGAATCGCCAGCTCACAAAGTTTCAGAAAATAAAAAGTTGAATAGAACTGTTCATCAATATCCAAGTCACGAAAAATGTGGGAGAATGATAGATACTATTGAAAATTCTCAAAAAATATCAAAGGTCTCTTAGGAGGATAAGTGAAATATTTCAAAATCTTTGTCATTCTGAAAGATATATATTAGCAATATAGCCTCCTAGAGATCACTTATAAGCATGGAAAGTTGAATTTAACAATATTTAGGATTAATTAATGCATACAATCAGCACATGCTCTGTTTTAAAGAGAGCTCCTGCACAATCATCCATAACTAACTTTGCAATTACATCTTTTGTCAAAATTTTTCAATTAATTTCCTGAAATTTTCTTTTTATGCTAACTAGGACATTTTTCAGTTCTTTACCTAAATTTGTGAGTAACAGTTAATTCTCTAAAAAAAAACTCTCCTTCATGGCTGCCATCATGCTGATTAGTACAAGTAGCTATGGAATAGTATACTGTACATCTATGATATACACATGTGTGTATATTTAACAAATAGATTCCAAGTTGCCGTACATCTGTTCAGTTATAGATCACAGATGATGTCAAAATGTGGTAAGAACAAAAAAGTGGCACATGAGGCGCAGCTGAGTGTGTCACTGATGTTCTTACCACATTTTTACGTCCTCTGTGATTGATTACTGAACAGACGCACAGCAACTTGGAATCTATTTGTTTTATATAATAAAAAACAGAGGGCAAAAATTTTAATGATGACGTCATCTATACATCTGTCCTCCAATAGATCATAAGTGAGAACCAATCAGAATGTGTGCATAACTGAGCTTATTTTATATATATATATATACATATATATACATACATTCAACTAATCCTTACCTTTGATGAGTTGTTTAACTTCTATACTGTTGGTAACCTGACTTGATTTTCTACCCTCTCCATTGATGATAGTAACATCTGCATCATGCTGAATCAGTAATGTGACCACATCCTGACAAAAGATATAGCAACACTCACAGGATTAAGGGAAAGTTTGAGTAAGAGACACACTTACACAGCTGCCAAAATTTATCTTTAATTCAGTGGCATGAAGTAACTAAGAATATCACTGCATGGACATGCATTCCTCTTTACTCTTTAAATCCTGAGAGTGACCAATGCTGAATCATTCTTTAAGATTGCAAGAATAAAGGAAAGAATGACAAACCTAAGAACCTTTGCTTGTTAAACAAATTCTTCTTGTCAGTAACAAAGGAAATGTGAAAAAAAGAGTATGAAAAATATAGATACTGATGGTGGGGTGTGAAGGGTTTAAAAGATACTAGTCTCAGTAATCTCAAGGATAAGCCTTGAAATTTCATAGGTTTTTTGGTCGGTACACAGGTAAGTGTTTCCAGCATTTTCTTAGGTTTCCCAGAGAGCTCACTTGTATCAATTTATTCTTCTTGGTTGAGAGAGTTACTGTAAGAAGTGTCTTGTCTGTGAGCACTACACAATCATCCAGCTGGGACTGGGTTAAGAGGTCTTGATTCACACCTGACTGTGTCATTGTGTAATTTTTTTGTGGGCAAGATAATCAACTCACAAAGTGCCTCTCTTCACCCAGGAGTAAACCCTGAGAATGATCAGCATCTAATTTCTCCTTACAGTATTATGGCTGAATCATTCATTGAGATCATGAGAATATAGGAAATGATCGCCACCCAAAGAAGCTTTGATTGTTAAACGAATTCTCCTTATTGGTACTAAAGGAAACTTATAGCGAAGAGAATGGAGAATATAGATACTGATGTTAGGGTGTAAAGGTTTAAGAAACCTGACAAAGTGGTGAAAATCAATCTCTGATGGACATCCACAGGGAGAAAATGAAACACCTATTGCTCCACGTAAATTGTAAAAGACAAATAATGGAAATTTCATTTGGTCAGAGTAATGTTTTGTTTAGTTATCCACTGCACAAGAAGATAGAATATTTCAGTCTCTACCCTCCTTACTCAGTGGTACCGTACATAAATGAATGTCCCATGTCAAAAACTCACCGCTCTTCCAGTGAAAGCTGCCCTGTGGAGTGGAGTGTCTCCCATTCCATTTCTGGCATTGACATCAGCTCCATTCTAAAGAGATGGAAAACATAACTATTACTTAATGAAAAATATCTCAATTTGAGTGATGTGATGGCCTCCTTGTCAACATACTGCACTCTTAGTTAAGAAGTTCATGTGCAAGACCTGGCTGGGTTAACCTTTACACCCTAACATCATTATGCAGATTCTCCATACTGTTCTTGATGCATTCCTTTAAGGTGTTAACAAGGAGTATTTGTGTAACAATCAACAGCTTTGTTAGTATAATTTAGATGTGATATTGTCGGGAGAAATTACATACTAGTCACTCTTAGGGGTTTACCCTTTAACCCCTAGAATGACTAGCATCCTATTTCTCTTTACATTATCTCCTCTGAATCAAACATTAAGGTCATGAGAGTAAAGGACATGATCAACAACTAAAGAGGCTCTTCATTGTTAAACAATGAAGAAATGTAAAATGGTTTCCGTGTTTACATAGCCTGATGTAAACACACAGGATGTTGGGAGAACATGAGATAAGCGTAGGAAACCACGACGCAAAGCGGAGTGATTTCCAGCTTATCGAGTGTTCTCCCAACCTCCCAAGCGTTTACATCAGGCTATGTAAACACGGAAACCATTTTACATTTCTTTTATAAAATAACTAATGAAAGAGGATCGAAAACCTTGTTTACATACACTCATGTAAAATGGTTTTATGGCCAATCAGAGCGCACGTACTATTTGAATTATTTTATAAATTCTTCTTGTCAGCACCATAGGAAATATATAGAGAACAGTATGGAGAATATCCATACTGATCTTAGGGTGTTAAGGGTTAAAGGGTTAAAGGGTTAAAGGGTAAATAAGTTGTACTCTTGAGCAAGACACTTTTCTCCCAAAATGTCTCTCTCCACTCAGGAGTGTAAATGAGTTCCAGTTAATTGTCAGGGAAGCCTAACACAAGGGTGGGTGATAACTGCCATGGGCTTGTATTCCATACCGAAGGAGTGAGCAAATTCTTCCTCACTTGACATGACAGTTATCAGGGATAAGCCATGACAAGGCCATGTAAGGTCTTGGACCCCACTTCCTCCCTCTTGGACCCCCCCTCCCTTCCCCTTCCCCTCCCCTTCCCCTCCACTTCCCCATCCCCTTCCCTAGTAACGCCTCAAACAGAAAAGAGCACCTTGCAAACAAATACAAAAGCATGGGCTTGCTACTTACCTCAAGCAATGCTTTTGCAACATTACAATGTCCAAAGTATGATGCAAGATGGAGAGGGGTCCAGCCTTGATTTGCTTTTGATTTCCCTACAGATAAACAGTGATAAAAACTTAATGAATCAAAATCTCTGAAAACTCTCTCTGTTTTGAAAAAAAAAAAAATGACACTTAACATTGATCACAGAGTGAAAAAATAAATCTGAGACCCCTAGAATAAGTTGTTGAACCCCATCAGCTTTGCTTACACAATCAGATTCTTAAATACCAGCTGAGCTACAAAGAACTTTCTTTGTAAGCTAACCAAGATTAAAACCCCTTTACACCCTGGTATCAATGTGTAGAATCTCCTTACTCTTCCCTATACATTTTCTAACATGCTGATAAGGAGGATTTGTTTAAAGATCAGGAGCTTCTTTAGTTGGAGATCATTTCATTTAATCCTTTGATCCTAACGTTTAATTCAATGGGGATAATATTAGGAGATATTAGAAGTTAATCAGTTCTAGGGGTCAGAAGGTTAAAATATTACCCTCGTTGCATTATTGGTTTACAAATAATGAAATTCAACATCACTAAAAATACCTTTGTCCAAAAAAATTTTGATCTGTATTCTCTGCTTTAAATTTGTAACTTCAGCCATTGCTCTCATTTTCCATTTTTTCAGGCCAATTTTTTTTGGTACACACACAACTTACACTACTTATATTATAAGTCTCAATAAAGTACTTTGCAATGGGTTATTATGAAAACTTAAAGATATTAGCTAACTATGATTCAAGTGTAAAATGTACAATATACATCTTGAGCCCCAGGTGCAAGTGAGTTTATAATTATAAGTACAGTCAAGATTACTTTTTAAAACAGCAATTTAAAATATAAAGTTGGGAATCAAGGGTAGCACTTACAAAGCAGGAACTATCACAAATACAAGTACATTCTATTTTTGACATCTTCCATGTGAAACCTTGCTCATTAACTTACCTACTAAGTTATATCATATACAGCATTAGAAACACAATATAACTTACCTTTGCAGTTCACATCAATACTTGAACGAGAGCTACTTTTGCCAGGTGATTTAGCTTGCAACAAACTCTAATACGAAGTAAAGAACACCAAAAACTTGAGAGATAATCAAGCTAAGGAAAACTCTAAAATAAAGGATGAGACACCCAATATAGCACTGTTAGAGAAGTAGTCAATTTTTTTTTTTTTTTGTGTGAAACAAATATGATTTATGTTCAAAACTGATGTTATTTGTTGTTGTTCAAATAATTTTTTACTTTTTTTTCTAGGTGAGACAGGAAATAAACTGGTGGAATATTGTTCCTCAAACTACTCTTATTGGTGAAGTATTGCTGGTGATATCTGAAGTTTTTATTTTTATAGAAGTTTCACACTTAATATTGTTCATGAATGATCAGCCACTAAATTCCAAACTTCAAAATAATGTCTATAATTAAGTAAGTTTACATTGAAGCACATTAAAAGGTTCTTCAAGTTAAAAAGTAAGAATGTCCCCACACAAATCTGATAACATAGCGAATGCCAAGTACCATTTTCAAAAGTGGGTTAACTTAACCCAAGGTTAGGCAAATTGAGATGACCTGATCGATGTCATTATTCTTAAATAGAATGGCAAACAAAGGCATGTCCCCAAGATGATAAAAATATAGAATTACACAGTGAAACTGTACCACAATACTCAATACATGTGGTAAACAGAATGTTAATGTCAGAATTAAATTATTGAAAATCAAGTCCTTTTTGGTAATCAAGTGAACATTGGAGAACAAAACATCACTCAGACATGATTAGGCGGTTTATATATCAGCTGAGTAACTGTGATTCCGTCCGTTGTTTGAAAATTTCAACATGTTTGAACTTTAAAAAAAACAACAGGTACAGCCGATGCTGTGTACTACATTATGCCACAGTAAATATTTTGGCGATGGAAAGGAAATGTTTCAATCATAAATTTGTCTCGTGATGTTACACTTACAAAACGCAACAGCTTGCATTACAAACACCGACATTCAATTTACACGAAGTTGCATGTACGACACTTTTGGTAATTATTTGGGAAGAGGCGATCACATGTGGAGATTTCGTTAGAAGACTATAAAGAAATATTACATAAAAGCTACTTTTATCGCTTCCGGTGAATTGCGTGTGAGAAAGACAACAGAACGAACAAACATGAAAGTAGTTAAATTTTAAGCTCTATCGATAAGCTTTTCATATTCAATTTGTCAAGGATGAGAGTAGCTTCAAATAAACCGCAGAAGAGCAAAATAAATAAAACAAGCGATAACTTGTTTTCTAGCGGTTGGAAGCCATACCGGTAATTTTAATGCTCAGTAGGCATAAAAACAATAAAACCTTTACTCACAAGTACGGTGTCCAAATCACCTCGACGCGCCGACTGCAAAAGTTTCTCCTCATTTTCCTCTCGTTTACTTGAGCTAGACATGCCTCCAATCAGACAGGAAAAAATATTTCATCGTCATCTACCCATAGCTATTGATTAAAATGAACATTTTGCGCTATTACCACGCAAATCATAAAAATCTTCTCGCCTCTTCCATCGAAAATTGCCCCGTTGGTCTAGAATCGTCTGGTGCCCAACCCCCAACCTTAGGCTTACTAGAACCCAATCCTTTGCTGACAATCGATTTTTCTTAACCATTCAACATGGCGGCTGTTCGATTGTGTGCACTTTCGCGACGGATGATTTCATCCCCGTTCTTACAACTCAGGGCAATGTCTGTCGGAGATAAAGGAGGTGGTGCAGGAAAGGTATCTACTCAATTGGTGTTTCTGTAATTTTCAAATATATTTTCGATGATAATGATAATTTTGGAAAAAATGCCTGAACTAATTTCGCAGACCATGTAACTCATCGCAAATATAACACTTACCGAAGTAATATCACATTAGCTTACTGAAGGAGAGGAACGTTTCTAAAGTCTTAAAATTTTCACGTTCTTAAGCTTGATTTCTAAACGGTTGTTGAGAAAAAGACGTCGTACACTGTAAAATTCTTCACAATTCTAATTTAGCTTTTGCGTTGACGTAACATTTTAAGTCGAGGTAAATGAGTTTACGAACCTGCACACAGCACATGGACTCAATGGACTGCCCTGCATCTAAGTTACGTATTCGTGATGGAGTATCTGTGGGATCAAGAGACTTTGAAAACCGAATAGGTAGCTTGCGTGTGGATGGACTGTTTTGTTAAAACAAACAAGGCTCATTCTGTTTTCAGTTGTCAGTTAACTTACGTTCCGTCTGTTCGTTATGTTTTATTGGAAAATAACCATACCTACTCCATAGAGGGGTCTTACTTTGGTCCTTGCGACCACTCCACCGTTACCTCCATTTGGGTTGGACAACTTTTTCCAAATTGTTACCTTGTCACGCTCACTTCTCCCCACCACCCCCTGAAATTTTTAGTATGTCACCGACAAAATGTCCAGTGTGTCTCCCCCTGAAATTTCCAGTGTGTGACCTATTTAAATTTTCAGTGAGTCAAATAAATTAATGTTGTTTGTTTATGTTTTTCTCTTCAGGGTGGTGGAGCTGGAGGAGACATTAGGTGAGATTAGCCACCAATAGTCATCAGTAGCTTAAATAGATTTGTTATTTACTGGGTGGTCCATATGGCAAAAATATTGTGGCACAATTTGTTTACTCTCATTCAGACCAATCTAGACTGGTAAATAAATAAGTTACATTTTTTCTGCTGGTTTTCTTTTTTCCAACTTGCCCCTGGCGTAGTTCCAAGCATGTGATTTGCCAATCAGATTTGAGGATTTAAGATTCTGGCTGACAGACATGTTTCAGAAAAAAATAACGTGGCACACTAGCTGACAGGTCACTGCAGCACATGTCTGTGACAAACTTCTCCAAGTGTAGTGCTTCAAAAAAGCAGGCCAGCTCACCTCAGCTGATATATCCTACCCATATGCATTAATGAGTGATGAATTTGTGCAACTTGTTCTGGGAAAAATTATAATGCAGAGACATAGATATTCAAAAGGATTCTCCACATCAGTTGAAGAAAAGTGTTGTTACCACTCTTCCTTGCAAAATATTGCAGTATTGATCACCCACTTGAAGCGTGTCCCAACCTAAAAACTGTGATGGGACCAGCATACCATCCGTTGTAAGTAATTTGCTCAACTTGTGAAATGTAAATTATAAATTTCAGGAGTGCTGGTGGTTCATTTGGAAAAATGGAGCATGTCCATGAGGAACAGTACTTCAGAAAGCAGGTAGGTCTTCACAATTAGATAATTTCCAGAGCCTTTTAGTTTTTCATTTGCAGTGACAGTATTATATTAGTACCTGCAATTCCTGAAAACTTACAACTTATTGAAACCTTTCTACTTTCAGAGGTAATTAACATATCCATATCTAGGAAACTAGAAATAAGAAAGGACCAATTTACATGTTTTATGAAGAGGGTGTTGTCTCGATGTAACTCAGAAGTCACAAAATCCTTTAACTCCTATGAATGACCAAGGCAGAACTTCTCCTTACAATATCAGTACAATATCAACCAGACTTGTGAAGAGTGTAAAGAAAATATCAATAAGGAGATTGGTAGTTGATGTCCAATCAAAATCTCATAACATCAAACAAATCATACGAGAGACAGTAAGAAGAATCACATAATAAGATCTTGGGAGTGAAAGGGTTAACCCTTTAACTCCCAAGGTCTCATTAGTAATTCTCCTTACTGTCTGCCAAACAGTTCTTGTGATGTTAGTTTGGAGAATTTGGTTTTGGATCAACTAATAATCCCCTAATTGATATTTTTATTTATTCTCATCACTTGCCTGCTTGATACTGTGTTGATATTGTAAGGAGAATTTTTGTCTTGGTCACTCATGGGAGTTAAAAGGTTAACTAATCCACAAGGAATATTAAAGAAGTTAAAAGGGAGAGTAATTAGCAAGATCATCACATCAAAACCTTGTTCCTTTCTTTTTTTTTCGCCATATAGGGTGTTTCCTTTATTTACTTTTAACCATTTAACTCTCAGAAGTGATTAACATGTAACTTCTCCCTATAATATCCATACATTATCTAGCAAACAGGTAATGAGAATACTCAAACTTATCAGGTAGAAGTTGTTGCCTTGATCTAAAACCAAATTCATGTAACCAACTTACAAGGAAATGTGTAGCAGCTAGAGAAAGTATCAACAATCAGATCTTGGGAGTTAAAGGGTTAAGGTAAACAAGTTGGATTTGAAAATTGTTAACTTTTTGTTCAAAGGAACAAGAGAAACTAAAGGAAATGAAGAAACATTTGGAAGAACAAGTGGATCATCATGAAAAGGAGATTCAACACCATGAAGAGGCCATCCGTCGTCATCGCGAAGCAGTTGAAAAACACAAGAAGGGAATGGAGAAGTACGATTCAGACTCTGACTAAGAAGAAATGTCTTCTTCTTGGTTTTGATTTGTTTTTATTTTGTTCAATCATGCCATGACATATCTGAAAATGGCTTCTTGTCAGCAGATAGTGGCTTTCTCTAATATTGTTCTGATATGAATGTTGTCCCTTACTTGGTGAGTGTTTGAAATAAAAGAACAATTCTGCATTTGTTTTGTAACCAGTATTAACACAGTGTCTACTGCAACAGTAATCTCCTCCACCCAAGAATACAACAAACACACAAACTAAATTTATTGATTCAATTCTATTTTTTTAAAAAATATTATCAATATTTCCAGTGATAAATTCACATTTATTTGATAAAATCCTAAAAATAAGAGAGAAAAGAGAATTGTCTCCAGTGCTAGAGATTACTTGCAGAGTAAAGTGAAGCAAAACTAATATGCACTCTTTCAATACTCGCATCCAATCATAAGCAAGAATATTCTCCATAACATTCTCCATTCATTTCCTATGGCACTGACAAGGAGAATTAAGCAAACAATCAAGAGCTCTTCAAGTTTTTTATCATTTCTCGAGTTCTTATAAAACTAATTTTGATTCAACAGTAATACCCTAGAGAGAAATTAGATGCCAGATACCCTTACGGGTTACAGAGTTTACACAAATTTGAAAATTCCTGCCTATGCATGAAAAGTGAGGATCACTTTGATAAATCTTCCTCTTGACAATCAGCAGGACATATCTGATTTGTTTCTCAGCTTCTTCACTTTGTTGAACTATCATAAAGGGGATTTTCTACTGACATCTTTAGAGGAAGAAAAGGTACAAGAAAAAAAATATTAGACTATCATATGAAGGTGAAAAAACTGTTCATTTACCACTCCCACCCCCCTTGCCATTTTATCAGGTTTCCCTGGCCATTCACCCATACCCATTTGTATTTCTGGGAGGAGAGAGGCAGGAGGGTGGCACTGCAAGATCTATACCCATGTCAGCTTATGGCAATACCGATAAGTTGGAGCAAAAGGTCGGAAGGCATCTTGGAAAAATTTCACCCACTGGAATCAAACCAGTCGTGGTAGTCCAGGAGTTGTAACTCAGTAGCCCTTAATTCAAGTCCTCCACTGTGCAACTCAATGGAACAAATCAGTGGCCCCAAAAGTCTTTCTTTTCTTACACAAATTTTCCTTTTTTTCTTTTCCTGTAAATTACTCTCTAACCTCGCCAGAAGCATCCTGACCAGAAGATTGCTTCTCCCCCAACTCCCCATTCTCTTTATAATCTACAGCTTGGTTGTTACCAATGTTGGTAAGCTCAATATCACCATCTGCCACTGTAACAAATGGGTAGCTCTGTCTTCAAAACAAACATTAGAAAAGCATCAGCATATCATTTTTAGTTAGTCCTTATTCAGGATACCCACTTCACTACAATAGTGCTTTACAGAGGGGTTCTTCCAACAAATGGAAAAATGTTAACACTAACAAAAATGTACAGATGACAATGAAAAAGTGTTAATATAACTATGTAACTAAATCGATACCTTGATTTTAAAGAAATAATTTGAGCACATTCCTAGGATGGCTCCTTTAAGCATTCTGAATAATATGTCCAGGTTATTCTAATCATTGCCCAAAGTTTGAGGAAGTCCAGAGACCCAAAGGTACAGACTACATTGACACTCTGCTTTCATATCAGGACATTATCATTTGGTTTATAAAATATGATAATCCCTACACCTATAACCGTTACCTGTTACTATGCTTAAATAATTGGTGTAAACCAAACAATGATGGTACCTTTTTGTGCAACTGCAGATTAGGAATATGACAGCAACTATAAACAGGAAGAGAAGGCAAAGTCCTACTGCCAGTGGAATGATCAAACTGTTCTCTGGTTTCTCTGTTTAGGTGAAATTATGGATCAATTATTGTTTGTTATACTTAATTTGAGTTAAAAGCGAGACTAAGACATTTACTCCTTTCATCTCCAAGATCTCAGTGGTACTTCTTACTCACCACAATATAATTGTTATGATATTAGGCAAGTTAGTTTCATTAAAGAATTTGGTATTGGATCAACTTGTAATCCCCTGGTTTATATTTTTCTTTATTCTCATCACTTGTTTGCTTGATATTGTATTGGTATGGTAAGGAGAAATTCTGTCTTGGTCACACCTAAGAGTTTGAGGGCTAATAACGAAGTTTGTAAAATATGTTGATCAGGACTAGGTTGTTTAAAGCTGGGTCAAGATAACCCAGGGTTGGTGTGAAATCTTATTTCAGATCTGAAAGCTTTGAAAGGAAATTCAAGGCAATTCTGTTTGTCTTCAATTTGATGACTGGATGTTCTAAAAAGAATAGGAAAAATGCTTTTGAATATTAGGAATAAAGAAACCCCATTTAACATTTAACCCTGGGTTAGTGCTAATCAGCCTTCGCACAACTAGACCAAGAACAGGAAGAACAACTAGTGTGAGTGACAGAGGCGCAGGAACCTGTTTTCTTACCAGCAATAGCCTTGTCACCTGACTGTTCAAGAACCCTGACACCAGCCACATTGAAACTTTTATCTGAAAAAAAGAAAAAAAATTAAATTGATTTATTGATATTTTACATAGCCACACAGAACACAGTAGGACAAAAACCTGGGTCCAGTTCTTCAAACGCCAATTAGCACTAACCCTGCGTTAACCCTTAAACCCCTAAGAGTGACTAACATCTAGATTCTTCTTTCAGCATCACCCTTGAATAAAACTGTAAGTTCATGACAATGAAGGAAATGATCACCAACTAAAGAAGCTTTTGATTGTTCAACAAATTCTCCTTGGAAATGTATAGAGAACAGTATGGAGAATATGTAAACTGATATCAGGGTGTAAAGGGTTAAATTTTTATCCAGGTTTCTTTATTTCTCTATTCAAGAGCCTTTCTTGGATAATTTTCTAAATTCCTTTTAGAGCATCCAATAATCATATTGTAGAAAAAAAGAATTATAACAAATTTTTTTAAAAGCTTTCAGAACTGAAATAAAATTTCACACCAACTCAAGGTTATCTTAACCTAGCTTTGAACAACACAGCCTTGGACAAAAAGAGTCAGCCATGCAGTCCCTTCTAGAAAGAACAACGCTTATATGGCAGGCAGTAACTGGAAACCCAACCACAAGCCCTCCAGGCAAGGAAACATTCACTCACTACTAACAGCAAATATAGAAAAAATAAAGGGAGAGAGAAAGGGGAAAGGGTGAGGAAAAGAAAATCTCCTCTAAATAGGAATTTTGGCACAATTTTTTCATTATCACCCAATAAAAAAGCTATCCACAACATGTTGTTCATGCAAAGCAAAAATGAAAACAAATAGACTTCCACCTGAAATCAAGACTTCCTTGAGTTGTTCAGCAGCCTTCTGTGCTCCATTGCCTATTAAAAAAAGGGAGATAGCTGAGAGAAAAAATTCAAGAAGATAAAACAAATTCCAAACCCACAACTATAGAAAATTAGTTCATGAGTGGATGGCAATAACTTTTAACAGCCCTAGGGTCACTTGTATGGCAAATCATGGTTCCTTAGCTAAGTGAAGTTGTCATTACATTGCTTACAGATATGACAGATGTGTTATAGAGAAAGTTGAACTTGAAGAATTGATAAAGCTTACAGTTCTTACTGCCAGTTGCATATTGGTGACAAATTGGTGATATCAATTTTGTAACAGTGTGTAAATTTGTTCATTTTTTCCTTTGAAAGCCATGACAAAAATTTAAGACAGCAAGCAAAGATTATATGGTCACACACAACACTTACCACCCTCCTGATCTATTAACAAAACTTGGACAACGTTTGATTCTGTTTTGGAAGTTGCAACACTTACTCCTTCATATTCCTTATGGATGAGAAAAATATACCATTATTGTTGTACTAGGATTATTCAGTTACACTTCAACAAAGATTTGGGATGAAACAACAAGAAATCTGCTGCTACTTATGTATCCAATACATTGCAATATTGGAAGAATCTCAATAATTTACTTGAGGGAATGATTGTTTACAATGTTGCAGAAGGTGGTTTTTCATTAATCTGATGTAAACACAACAAACTAGTATACATGTCAGCATCTGAGCAACTATGTACCTACCCCTCCCCTGACCAAACATTAACCTTCACTTGTTATCAGTTGATTGTTGGGTTTGGGGAGGGGTAGTTGAGCAGTCACTCACATACTGATGTTGATACACAAACTACAACATCACATTAATTAACTGATAACATTCTCAAATCCATGTGTTCCACAGAAAATTTCTTGCAAGTCATGACTCAAAGAGAGGTTGTCCATCACTCAAAAATGCACAATGTGCAAATAGAATCAAAGTTATTACCTTAACCCTTTAACTCCCATAAGTGACCAAGAGAGAATTTCTCCTTACAATATTGATACAATATCAACCAGATAAGTGATGAGAATAAAGAAAACTATCAATTTGGGGATAATTTGTTGATCCAATACTAAATTCACTGAACTAACATTATAAGAATTGTATGGTTGACAGTAAGGAGAATTACAAATTTGATCTGGGAGTTAAAGGGTAAAGTTAATGAGCTCCAGAATTCACCGAGGCTTTTGAAAAGAAGCCTGATGACAATTGAGCTGACTTTTATTAGAAATTATGTGAAGAAGGTTGCTTGTCAAATGAGATTTCCATCCATTTAATTTTAGGAAGTGTGATAAAAGAGAACATTATGACAACAGCGGTGTCATGATGGTAAAAATTTTAAAAACAAACATATCAGTAAATGTGCAACTTACAGTCTGAGAGAAATTTGCCAGCCGATGTTTGAAATCATTCATTGTGAAGTCTTGCTCCAAACTTAGTCCGAGCAAAGTTCCTATTCATAAAATAAAATTCACAGAGAGTTCTTACAATGTTGCAAAATGTGCTTTTCCACTCCTGAAATGTTAACATGACAAACCACAACATATTGTTCCATAAGTGGTTGTATATGCCAATACATTTACTCTGGGGTTAATTTCTTACAGGTGGACTGAAACAGCACTTTCTCCCAAATTGAGAAAGCCATTTATTTATTAATTCCTAATTCTTGACTTTTCTATAAAAAAGGGCAACTAACCACAGACATCACAACAGCTTCCTTCTGGTCTAAAAGCACCAGCACAAATAGGCTCCTCACATTTCACATGGCTACAGATGGTTTCAGCAAACTGTTCACCAAAACAAATAAGCCAGTCAATGATTTAGAAGAAATATCATTTTTGGACTGATTTTTACAAAGCTGAACTTTCTAGAAGCTGTCCAACCCTAGTTAAGCCCTCCTTCCCTTCCTCAAGAGGCCTAAAAATGAATGATTCAGCTCCAAGACAGCTTATTAAAGTATGATTTACAGTACAAATAAAAACTTATTACACAGTATATACCACACAGGTGACAGGTAAGAACTTTCTGCATACACTGATTGGCTAGTTCACATATACATGTAATAGGTGAGTACTATTCAACCCCCAGCAGCTAAAGAGACAAAATAAGCACATTTTTTGGTACACTGACAGAAATATAATAATTTTTTGGTTTCCATTTGATATATTATAAAATAAATATTCACCTTAAAGAAGTGTTTGTGAAAGTGGTGGATATTTACCTCAAGGCTTCAAGCCTCAGCAAATATCCACCTCTCTTCAACTCCACTTCAATGAATAATAATTTTTATTGTTAAATGTTGCAATGATCAATTACTTGGGTTAAAAGGTGTTTCAAAATTTTTTTATTAAAGGTGAAAATCATTTTGACTTAAAATGAGAACTACAATCACAGTTTGAGTCTTAATTTCAATGAGCCTGTTTGATTGTTGTAGACAGTACCTTCCAATATCCACATGCACAGCCAGTCCTGTCATCACACTGCACTGCTGTGATATTAGTTGGACCAATAAAGTTGAACTGCATGCTTCCAGATGCACTGTTATAGAAATCCTTAAAACTTATGGAATTTTGTGCCTGGAAACAAAATCAGTCAGAATGGAAACAGTAATGACAGCAGCAAATAGCAAAAAGGAAGAGTGGGCTCTTGATTCTCCTTGTCAGCGTCTTAGGAAATCCATAAGAACAGTATGGAGAGTAAGCATATTGATGCTATGATGCAAAGGGTTGAAGGTATTTTTGCACTTATTTGAAAAACTTTCAATCAAAAGTAAAGAGATTACATTACAAAAGCTACACAAAGATAACTACAGAGTCAGTAATTTGGAGGCAAAAACAAACCTCCCCAAGCAGTTCAACAGCTGCTACCCTGACAGGCAAAACAGACTTGACCATAAAGGAGCTGGCCTACAAAGAAAACCAAAGAACAGTTCATCTTTCGTTGGTTGTTAGAGCTTACAAGTATAATCTCCTGAAATTACCACAATCATGTAAAATTAAAGAGCTTGTCTCTCTCTAATACATGCTCCAGAGACATAAAATATCTGGGACCTAATCCATCCTTTTCTGTAACTTCATAGCTAAGGGCTTCCCCCTTGAAAACCACTTTTCATGAAAATAAGTGTTTTCCAGCAGGACTACCTTAGAGGTTTCCAGCGTGTCACAAAGGATTTGACTAATATTTGTTAGCACCTCACCTCAATCTTTTTAATTAATCAACATAAATTTGAAAGTTATTTTATATTTGAATCACCTGTGGAAAGACAACAGTGTCATGTACACAAGGCACATTGTCTGTATGAAGGATGGAGACTGGGGATGACCTGAATGGCTCTTTGTTGACTCCTATCTGTTGCCAGTTGTACGGGTTAAACCAGTTTTGGACGGATGCTACAAAGTGAATGTCACCAGGATCTTCAAAACAAAAAGGTTTCAACATTTATTTACGTAATTAAGTTTGAACCACTGATTATCAAAGGAAATAAAATGGTGCTCAATATCAATCACAATTCCTTTCAGTCTTTAGCAGGCTCTGAGAGAGAGAATATTCTGAGAGAGAGAATGATAAAAAGGAAAGGCAAACACAAATTATGTTTTGACTCTGCTGTGAGAAAACTAGTCATTTAACCCTTTAACTCCCATGATCTGATTGTCAATTCTCCCCTCTTGCTACTTGACATTACCTTGTTAATTAGTTATGAGAACTTGTTGTTAGATCAAGATAACATCTTTTGCCTGATTAATTAGCGTATTCTTATTACCTGTTAGTTGGGATAATGTAGGGATACTTTTGGGGGAGGTTACATATTAATCACTTCTGGGAGTTAAAGGGTTAACCCCTAAGAGTAGCTGGTTTTTAGTTTCTCCTTATAATAACATACATTAAGGGCACATGAATAAAGGAAATGATCCCCATCTAAAGAAGCCTATGATCGTCAAACAGATTCTCTTTGTCATTACCATAAGAAACAAATGAAGAACAGTATAGAAAATATATGTATCGATCTTAGAGTGTAAAGAGGTAAGTATAGCATTAAGAAGATATAATATTGTAACTGGCTAGATTCAATAAGCAACATTGTGCAGTAAACTTGAAACTTGAATAATTATTCCCTATAATAAAAACTAGATCACCTGGTATAGTCATACTGACTAGACTAGACTAGACCATCTGACTAGACTAGACTACACCACAAATCTGATGAATAACCTCTGCTCAGGTTGTCAAAACATTTAGTTAATGTCAACCACAAGAATTTTCCAACAGGGGTTGAACCTACAACCTTTGATCAGTACTTGCGATGCTCTACCACTGAGCTTTAGGGGACTGTTTTCCATGGTGACAAACATCCTTTCAGGTTGTTGTTTCTAGTATTGTCTATAGTTATTTCATTTCCAATGGATATTCACCTTCACAATCAGTTGATACATCTTCATTGAAACTTAACTCAGCACCATCATAAAAGAGCACTTCTCCATTCATTGGTAAACTCTGCAAGAATTAATAATTACTCAGTGGCAAGTAGATTATGTAAATACACTTGCACTCAGAATTTGAAATTAGATAGTGAAAACTTAAAAGAAGGTTGTCCCAAATAGTAAATCAAATGTGTAAATATATCAAAATGAGGAAATTACAATTTTAGCATTCAAATTAGTAGTACTAAACTGTTATATTTTTCCATAAAAATTGGGCATTCTAATGGTGCCTGTGTCTCTTCTATGGGTTGTTTAGAGCTAGCCTCTACTAAATGCCACAATAAATATATCATTAATTGACAATAATAATTAAAATAATAATATATTAACTATACTATAATAATTAAGTATGCAAAAATTACTGCAAAATTTGTGGACAGTTTACGATGTGATCATTCATTACATTCATCTATGTAATATGAATTTGTCCTAGTCAATCACATGTTCTCAACATTCAAAACTAAACTCTGTTCAAAGTCACTCACCAAAGATGAAATAATATGACTGCTCCTTAGAGAAACAGAGACCGGCTTGTTCTGCAAATGGCCAGGTTTACTTAATTAATATAATTAAATTTATAGCTGTTTTACAGAGACAACCTTACAGGCTTGAAGCATACAATAGTTCAAATAAATAAAGGGGTTAAGTTTCTAAAGAAACTGTGGTGTTGCATCAGTGGGAGAGTATAACAGGTAATTTAGCATTAACAACTGAGTTGAAAACATAAATTGGCCACTGTAAAGGGTAAAAAGACTGACATTTTGAGCATTAGCTCTTCGAGTTGCTCTGACGAAGGGCTGACACTCGAAATGTCAGCTTTTTTACCTTTATGGTGGCCAATTTACATTTTCAACTCAGTTGTTAACACTAAATTACCAGTTTCTAATAAATTCAGTCTTGTCAATCCATGTTTAACCCTTTGATCCTTAAGAGTGACCAGCATCTAATTTCTCCTAACAATATCAGCCCTGATTCAAACATTAAGATCATAGGAATAAAGGAAATGATCACAAACTTAAGAAGATCTTGATTGTTAAACAAATTCTTCTTGTCAGCAACTTTGGAGATGTATAGAGAACAGTATGGAGAATATGCATACTGATGTTACGGTGAAAAGGGTTAGTTGTGCCAGGCATTGTCCAGGAAAAAAAAAAAGCACAAAGATACATGACAAGGAATTAAGATTGAATTCAATGTTCAAAATTAATTTCCTGTAATCAGATTGATCAGTTTTGTGCAATTGACTCCAGCAACACAAGTTACTCTGTAATTTACATAAAAATGAAAGAAATGGATACTCAGGATTGGCCATCACGTCAGAGAAGCGCTACTTCCCAGAGGTTGATGTTCACATTTACAGAAAAATTGTTTACTGTATCAAATCAATTCAGTAACAATACTCTTTGAAAGATTTCCGCACAAACCCATACTATTCTAAAACAATACCGTAGTCCCAAAGGTAATCTATTGTTTACGCCATTGTTTTCTTTATCCAAGAACTATATGCATAATAAAGTATGGTGCTGTGCGGAAATCTTATCTGCCGTTATAAATATGGCCTCGTTCCTTACCCCATGAAGTTGCACTCTGTCTTTTGCACACGGCACTCTTCCCTTATTCCAGTTAGCTGGATTATCAAAATTTGTGTTGGGTAGCCACTGTTTGGTAACTGCTAAGCACTGATTCCCTGCAAAGTTGATAAAAACTCTCAATTTATTAAACCTTTCCACTATCGAGGTTTAGCTGACACTATCCTCTGATGACACTGTTCCCGAATATGGTACAAACGTGCTAAAATTACTGTGCGAGTGATCTCATACATTACTCATAAGAACGCCTTCTTCCAGTGTAAATCCCGCTGCTGAATCATATAATACCATTTCATAGTCTTACCCAGCAAAAGGCACGTGAACATCCACGCAAAGATGAGTTTCTTTTTTCTGTGGATCATCTTATTCCTCATCTAAAACGGAGAAACATAGGCCCTCGGTTCGAATGACATAGCGGATGCTTACCGTTACAAGCGAAAGCCCGTGACTTTGTCACATTGTGTCACGCTATTCTGTCACTCTGTGAAACCAGTTATTTTTTGCTTGCTTTTTGATTTCTGAGTACACGTTTACATTTAATTGGTCGTTGAATAATTTTTTGTGAGAAATTAAACTCTCACTAAGAAAAATCGTGTGTTTTTATGAAATTTTGGACAAGTCAAAGCACTGAAAAAAGAGAAAAACGATAAAAAGATATCATGATTCTGTAAGGTCACTAATGGCCGATTTCGGATTTTGACACTTCTCGCCGATTTAGGATTTTGGACACTGGTGGCCAAATTTGACTTTCGGACACAAGTGGCCTGTTTCAGATATGGAACACTAATGGCCGATTTTGGATTTCGGATTTTGGACACTGGTGACCGATCTTTGACTTTGGCCACTAACGGCCGATTTTGGATTTGACACCAGTGGCCGATTTTGCATTTTGGCCATTAGTGACCTATTTTGGATTTTTGACACCGATGACCGATCTTGGATTTTGGACGCTTGTGGTCGATTTTGGATTTTGGAAACAAGTGGCCGATTTGGATTTTGGTTACTAGTGGCCAAATTTGGATTTAGGCCACAAGTGGTCGATTCTGGATTTTGGACACTAGTGGCCGTTTTTGGATCTTGGCCACCAGCGGCCGATTTCGGATTTTTGGGTATTGGCCACATGTAGCATATTTCGGATTTTGGACACTAATGGTCGATTTTGGATTTTGGACAGCAGAGGCTGATTTTGGATTCTGGCCACCAGCGGCCGATTTCGAATTTTGGCCACTATTGGCCCTATTTTGGATTTTGGTTACTACTAGATTTTTTAAATTTATTATTTATTTATATTTTTTTGGCTGAAAACGAGTGCAATGTTGTAACACGAGTGCAAATTACAATTAGCGCGCGTGCTGCAAAATTTTGTTTGTTTTGACTTTCTGTGACGCGTTTTTCGTGTAAAGTATTAACAAGTAAGAACATGATTACGGGTGCAATTTGGTGTAAGTAAGCACTTATAAATTTTTTAGAGACAACAAATTGCACTCGCCCTACGGGCTCAAGCAATTTTTTCGTCTTTAAAAAATTTAATCGTGCTTATTAACACCAAATTGCACTCTTAATCATGTTGTTACCTAGACAAATTTTGCGCGGAAAATTGACGCATAGGTGGCCAAAATTGTCCTGCGCTTGCCCGACGTTTGATCTCTGTTGAGTACAATGGCCATTGTACGCCATGACTTTGTTAATCCTCTGCCGTTCGTCAATTGTAGGGATTAAATTCGTAAAAACACCAAGAAACAAAAAGGCATGTAGACATTTGGTTTGAATTTTGAACAACTAAATGGTCTCACTTTCTTAAACCGCAGATGAAACTTATGAAATAAAATCCCATTTTACTAGAATCAAGTATGTGCACTAAAGCCTTCAAGTGAACACTCCTTAAACCATTCCAAATCCCACTTCTGGCTATGAACACTGTAAATGCAAAATTAAGGTCCTTACCAATTCGTAAAGAATACCATTCTTGTGTATGTAAAACTTCTTTGTCAACAGTGAGTGAGTTACAATAACCAATGAAAGACCGTTAAAAGTTCAATAGACTTCCTGTACAATTGACAATTCAATAAAAGTTTTATGAAAGCCACTTAGCTTTCTGCACAAAAGGCACCGTCGTCTTAAGTCCCTAGTTACAATACTCAGGCAAAGAGTTATTTTCACGGAGTGTATCCCAGAATGTCGACTGTTATTCCCTCAGGTAAAAGCAGCAAGGATTTACAATCGCAGCGCACTTTTGTGGAGCAACTTCGCCGTGAGGCAAAAGTCCAGCGGGTGAAACTGTCGCTGAGTGCAAATGAACTTGTGCAGTATTGCGAGCAACAAGGCAACGTAGATCCTTTAGTCAGCCCGAAAGCTGCACACGACAATCCCTTTCGTAATTCTGGTGGTAAATGTGTTTTGTTTTAAACTGGGAGCAATCTTCGAGCTCTGGAGCATTTTTTTTCGTTTTATTTTTCTCTTCAAAGCGTTCTTACGTCCTTTTTGGCTGGTTACTCACGACTGGATGTTTTTAATGTGGAGTCGTACTTGTTCGTTCTCAACCGTTTTGTTCCTAAACAAGCAAGCTAACAGATAGATAACAACTGATACCAGATTGTGTTGTTAACAAGAGCTCACTCCTTGTAACTTAGACCTCAGAATTTGATTTCTTTTTGCGAGCGAGGCACCAAGACGGATACTACGCACGTGAAAAAAGTCGGTAATAGACACAACTTTCAGCTTCGATACACCGGTAGAAGAACGTGTAGAGTTCAAGCAATTAAACAGTCCGAGATGGCATTACCTCATATTTGTTGCTTGGTTGCAAAACTATGCACATTGTGACTAACTGTTTGTCTGTAATATGAAATGTGTAAACACATAAAAACAGTTTTCCTTTGTATTTTAGAATTGGAAATAAATCGTAAGCAATATGCAAATCCTGCCTTGATGTTGATTTTTGTGAAAAGCAACTTCTATTACAAATTTAAAGCTTTTGCGGACAAAAACAATTGATAAAGGGTAATTATACAGAGTTGTTACTGGATTGCATTCGAAGACTTTTCATATCAATAGCTGAATTATGCAGGCATTTTGACTGGTTCTTACTAACTATAAAAATCTATATTGGAGGACAGAGCGTGACATAAATGACAGTACCTATAATTAAATCCCTAAGCCATAGCTATTTCAGAAACAGATTTCATTTTGCAGCAAAATAAGAGAGTGGCATATTAAGCTAACATCAGTTTAATACAATAAACATAAAAAATGATTTTGACTAACAATCTCGCCAGTTAATCCACTGAAATCAGATTCAACAGGCCATTTCCAATATATTAAAATTCAAACTTGACTCCGTGGCAGGAAATCAAAGGTAATCATATGGAGGTTGAAGGATGAATAATAAATTTAATTTGTTTCATTTCCCCCAGCCTCGGAGCCCTGTTACAATGTTAACACATCGAAATGGCCGATTGCGTGAGACTCCTTTATAATCCCTATGTGTGCGTGCTAATGAAGTGTGTTTGTACTCCATGAAGCATAGTTGTGGGAATTTCTCCCAATCCAACTGAGAAACAGACAACTGCTTGCTCCTATAAATAAACCCCCGCTGACGTATTAAACAAACGTTAATTTGTCTTTGCACTCGTCTGTGGCAAAGATTTACACCAGTTTCGATATTTAAAGTCGCCGGAAAAATTCGTTCATAAAGTAGCCCTTAAAATTAATAACGCAGGGACCTCGCTGCGCTTGGTCTGTACGTCATGACCTCCAGCCAAATATCTTCCCGTCCGGCTTTCCCATTCAGTCAATAAGAAAATAATATTATTCATTAATTTAAGGCATCAGAAATCTTTTAATGACATATACGCAAGGGCGTAACTTAGGGAGGGGGGTCCTAGGGTGCCCATGTCACCCTTCTGTAAGCATGTTATTGTCACATTAAGTAAAACACGGCGTGGAGGTCGGCATGACAATCTGGTGAGTACTCTCTTTTGACACAGTGTGACCCCTCCCAGGGAGTTTGAAAAATACCGGCTACGATCCTGATACGTGAATGTTTTTAATTATGTACAGGAAGTTTTAACAACCAATCAAATCCCCTCCACGTGGTTATTGCCAAATCTGATATCTTTAATATTAATAATTTTGGAGACAATTTCAACTCACAGCTGAAAGGCAGATTAGCACGTTAACAAGTCTACTAAAGTTGGATAAATATAATCTTATTTTTGTAACTGAAGGATTTTTCGTCATTGTGCGTTAATAGTAGCTATGATAAGTAGAAAGTACAGAATTTGAAATACGTCTGTACTTGTTCCGCATGCGTGGTGAGTTTTGCCGTCTATTTCGCTTTTATCCAATCATCAAAGGGATTCGTCGCGATAGCAGAAAATTCGACCAATCAAGAGCAAGCTGGAGCCGATAGCACGTGTTATTGAGATGACTAATTAACTTACTGATGAAATAAGGGGTTGCACACTCACGTTCCGCCGTCAGTCTCTCTAAAGACTTTGTCTTGTTTCGGCATTCATCACGTGTCTGGCAATTAGGTCGAGAAAAAGATGAAAAAGGAGGCAATTCTTGTTACAGTTTTCATTCTGTTCGTCACTCTAGCTCTTGTTCAGGAAAGCCATGGTATAGGAGGCATTTTAACTCCTCCAAAGTGGCGTCGTTCAAGGCGTAGAACACACTTTTATGGTGGAGGCAATACCCGAAGGCTTGTTCCAATCGTTGTGGTTACAGACCGGAAAATAAAACTGGAGAGTTTATTCAGGTGCGTAGATTTGATTTAGAGTTATTTGAAATAAAATGAAAAAAATAAACTTTCAAAGAAAAAATTCTGACGAGGCTAAAGGCAAAGAAAATGATTCCGTCGTTGATTCTGTCTACAAAAAATTGAAGACGAAAATCCATCGTTTCGTAAATCATGGAAAGCCGCTGATATTTGCTAATTGTCGGCGCGTGTGTCGACGTTAATTTCTGTCGTATTCATGCCCATTACGAACGTTCTAAGTTTTCTACCTTACAACTTGGTAGAACTGATAAAGAATATTTCGATCAACAACCCCTTCAATCGCAAATCACCACCACTTCCGAGCTGTTAAATTGGACTCAGTTCAAGAAAAAAATAAATGAAAGGAGCAGTCGTATAGTGTTCAGCTTAAAACCAAGGGGGCCAAATCAAGAGTTTGATCCATCGTTTGATAGAATAGCAAAGGAAAGGAAAGTACTGTTCAATCATTTTTGCGGATAAATACTGAACTCTACCTCAAATCTTACTCACTTCGCTGTCCGGCAAAATTGTGTCTCGAGATTTTTTAACGGACCGTGACAAATATCAGTCGTTGGGGGATCCTAAGAACGAGACATTTGAGGCGTGTTATTCTATCATCTGTGAACCCGAAGAAATTTCTTGCATTGCA